AAAGAGGTGAGATAGGTAGCTCTGGCTATTAACCAGCATGCAAGTGATAAAAGCCAAGGATAGCTGGAAAAACAGAAACGAATATGAAACAAGTAAGAATAGAACTTACTTTATGAGTAGTACATGAAAATTTTTTTTAAAAAAAAAACCTGTCACCAGGCTGGAGTGCAGTGGCACGATCTTGGCTCACTGCAACTTCCACCTCCTGGGTTTAAGCGATTCTTGAGCCTCAGCCTCCCAAGTAGCTGGGATTATAGGCACACATCACCACACCCAGCTAATTTTTGTATTTTAGTAGAGATGGGGTTTCCACGTTGGGGCCAGGATACTCTCGATCTCCTGACCTCCTGATCTGCCCACCTTGGCCTCCCAAAGTGCTCGGATTACAGGCATGAGACACTGCGCCTTGCCGAAAATACTTTCTTAAGACCTAGTACCAGACTTCATTAGAGAAGTAATTACTGGTTTTTAGGAAAAGTGACTTTGAATATGGAATGTGAGCTCTGGAAGGAAGACTCAGGAGGAGCAAAACAAAGATAGCTGAAGTTCTTCACGAAAAGTAAATGAGAAGACCTCCTCCAACATGGTCGACTGAGCTTTCCTTTATAAACTCATAGAAATAATGGATAAAATATAATTATTGTTATATAAACCATATACAACCTTAAAAACAAAAAACAAAGGAAATTCTCAGTGCCCGAAATAAATTTTAAAAATCGAATAGCAGAAAGCAGAACTGATACTTCAGTAGCCCTCCAAAATTTTAAACTTGGCTGTATGCCTCAGGAGCCAGTAGCTGGGTTTTAATGTCCAAGCACAAGGCTGAGCTTTAATGAGGCAGGTGAGCTGGAACTAAAGCCTTATGTAAAACGTGGAGCCTTAGGAATAGCCAGCCACTAGAACTGGAAAAAGGTAATCTACTAGTTTGGGGAAGCGATGAAGAAGTTTGTTCTTTGGGGCTTTGGATAGGGAGAAAAAAAGAAAAAACATAAGGTACCTATGAGAAATCAAAACCGCAGCCCTGCAAAAGATATAAATTTATAATATTTGCATAAGTCAGGAGCCACAAACTGAGAAATTATCATTTGAAAATGCTTCGGATCTTTAAGAGCTACAGTATGCTGGCAGAAGGAAATGCATAATTGCTCTAAAGGGACTCTTTTGCAACTAAGGGCATAAGAGAGTCCCATAAACAAAACCACCCACTGAAGAAGAGCACCACATGAAGAAATAAATCACTGAGTAAGAGTCAGTGGAGGTTGTCAACAAGAGTTAGGAACTGAAAAGCTAAAAATAACAGAACTAACAGAAAATAAAATAAAATAAAGATATATAACTTGATTAAAAGGGCAAAATAATAGAAATCATAATGAAAGAATAGGCAGAATTCACAAAAAACCAACAGAACATGTATTTTGGAAAACAATATTGTCATTGAAATGAAAATGAATGGGTATAACCAGATCCCACCGGTGAATGAATATAATAACCTCCTTTTCTATTCCTCATTTTAAATTGTACTTAGCAGGGTTTCTTTGCAAGTTTGTCAAACAGGTTATATTTGGTGAACCCACAGTTCAAATAATATGGCGTTAGAAATAAAAGAGTCATGCATTGCCTAACGACGAGATACGTTCTGAGAAATGCCTCATTAGGCAATTTCATTGTTGTGCAAACATCATAAAGTATACGTACACAAACCTAGATAGTATAGCCTTATGATCCTAGACTATAAACTTTTCTAGCATATTACTGTACTGAATAATGTAGGTAACTGCAACTCAATGTTGTGTGTTTCTAAACAGAAAGGGTAGTATGTTGCACTATGATGTTACAACATCACTAAGCAATAGGAATTTTTCAGCTCCATTATAATCTTAAGGGACCATAGTCATACAATGTAGTCGGACATTGAAATATTATGTGGTGCATGACTGTATTCAAAAAGTGCTGCTAGGCCACTGCCCTCCAGCCTGAGACAGAGTGAGGCTCCCTCTCTAAAAAAATAAAAGTGCTGCTAGTCAATACAGTGTAAAAATATAAACTGTCATTATCAATTCATTCCCTTGAACCTAAAAATAGTGTCTCAACAAAATGAGTCTTCCTTACTTCTGCGGGAAAGTCCTTTTTTTCTTGTCCTTTGTTCCAAGGAGAAAGGATTCACTCAGGTCCCTGTGAGAAGATCTTCTTTAGCACTCTAAAATTAGAAAAGTATACTCAGGACAGAGCTGGTTCCTTCTATTCCCTAGGAGAGTAGAGCACCAAATTTTTCTCCTAGGTCTTGCTTTAGGGCTGTATGTGTGTCCTTGCTAGTACTGATGCCTTCCATATAAGGACTCAGACTCCACTAGCTGCCAGATTTCTGCTTGAAACATTGCCTGTTAGCGTTGAAGCTTTCAAACGATTTTAATCCATGGTGATGAAGCAAGAACAGTGTTTTCTTTAACTGCATATACCCTATACTCTATCTCTGTTTCTACCCCTCACATCTCCAAATCAGGGGGCTTTACTGGCTTTGCGCCTTGATTGTTTCCACTCACCTGTGGTGATCTCAGGAGGCAGAGTTTGAAGTTAGTCATCAGTGATTTCCTCAAGTCCATTTGTCCTATATTTAGCAGCAATTCCTTAGTGGTTCTGGCATGCAGTAAGACTAGAACTGATAGAGATCTCCACCTTTGTAAGCATTTTTCATTTTGATCAATGGTCTTAATGGGAGTAGTTAGATCTGCACATTCTTCTAATCACCCAGAAGTCCTTATCCAACAACAGCGCATTTGTATGTTTTCATCCACTTTAAGTGTATCAGCTAGTTGTTAAAGTGCAAAGACTAACAGTCTGTCTTCACACATATTTCCATACCAAAAATCACTTTATTTCACAACTTGACTATGTCCACATTAGGATTTGTTGGCAAATTAAAATTCTCTACTCACAAAATGATAAAAGGAAGGAGACACGGCTGAAAGTAAATGTGTAAGAGTTAACAGAATCAATACAATTGAATAGCTGTGGAGCCTAGGGGATGCAGGAATCATGGCAGACAAAGATATCTGCTGAAGTAAATTAATGTTAGGTCACTACCCATGGTTGACATCACAGAAGTGGGTAAGCATATCAGAGTAAATAAATGAATCTTTTCTTAAACAAAAAACCCATAAAACTTATTTTACTCCCTTAACGAGAAATATTTTCAAAATTTAGGCCCATTCCTGGTAGATTAAGACCAGTTCAGATGACTGCATTGCCATTCCAGGGCCAAGAAAGCAACTTTAAAAACACGCCCTATGCTATGGTCTAAATGTGTCCCTCAAACTTCACATTTTGAAATCCTAACCCCCAAACTGATGGTTTTAGCAAGTGGCCTCTTGGGAAGTGAGGAATGGGAAGAAAGGAAAGGCCCTTATAAGATAGGCCCAAGGGAGGGCCTCTGCCTCTCCACCATGTGAGGACAGGGTCAGAAGGTGCTATCCACTAAACAGAAAGCACTCCTTCCTAGGCACACCTTGTTCTGTGACACTCCAGCCTTCAGAAATGTGAAGAATAAATCTCTGTGGTTCATAAGCTACCCAGTCTATGATATTGTTATGGAAGCCCAAAAGGATCAAGCCATCCCAAAATGGCATTGTCCACACCATGTTTTTGTACCTCACCTAGAATAACACCATACCCATTCGGAATTAAATCCTTCCTAACTCTTTAGTATCAACGTGCTTGGAAACGTAAGTAATGCTGACACCTTTTTTTCTAAAGAACAATACATACCAATTAACAGGATCGGTGAATAGTACTAGATTCTATGCATGGAGCCTAGTATGTATTTAAAAGCATGCAATCTGGAACTAGACTGGGAACAAATCCCAGCTTACTAGACTAACTGCTTAACCTTTTACTTGGACTCATTTAACTCGTTTGTAAAACGAGGGCAATTTCTGATTTCACAGGATTGCTATGAGGATTTTAAAAAGCCCCTTGGAACATAGCCTAACACTCAGAACTCAATAAATATGAACTGTCTTAAAAGGTTTCCAGGAAAAATCCCTGACAGGTTAGGTAGGCTTATCATTACAACGCTTTCCAGTGTAAGGGAGGTGAACAGCTATTTAGCACCACACAACTTCTCCTCTGGGCTCAGAACAGCTCTCAGTCGACTACGATCCCTTCCCGACGTGAAAATTTCAGATAAAAAGGCTCGGCGAGGTCAGAAGGCAGCACGGGACGGAGCCAGGACGCGGGCCAGAGTCTTCCGAAAGACTGTGCCTCTCCGGCCCCAACGAAATACAGCTTTTACTTTGCAGCAATCTGAGCCAACCCGAGAAGATTCTGAGGCTTCCAAAACAGAACCCACAAGAACACTCAAAGAATGCCTCTCCACCTCCTGACTCGGTCGCTTTGCGTGAAGAGTAGTAAGCCGCGGTGAGCACCGCCCAGGACTCGAGAAGGCGGAGTCTGCAGGGCGCCGAGGAGGGCGCTCGGTGAGGGCCCGAGGAGGGGCGGGGCTGACGAAACGCGAGGACCCGGGGCCGAGGTGTGGGGCTGACCATAGCGTGCCGGACGCCGGTGTGAACATATACTACCTGCTCTTGTAGTGCCCAGGCCCGCACCTGGGAGTCCCCGGAGCTGCCATTATCGAGACTCTGAGTCCTATTGCCTTGAAGCTTTAATCCTTCGCGTGTAGGGGAAAAATGGAACCCTAAAGACAGGCAGCTCCTAGGCACCAGCACAGGAAATAAGCAATGGAGGTGGGGTCCTTTGCTCGCGCCGAAATTCAAAGGAATAAATAGTTCCGGCGCGGGTGTTGAGAGCGGTGCGGCAAGTGGTGTAGCCGGTATGGTGAAGTTCTTTTCGTAGCAGCCGCGGCTAGAGAGTTGGCTTGCTCCCCGCCTTTGTGACCCGGAGGAGCTTTTGGGGTGCGTCAAGCCCTGGCCTGAGGCAGCGGTGAGGCGTGTGCGTGAGCCCGGCCGGTTGGGCCCGGCCAGACATCCTGGCGGGAGGCGGGACGCGGGGCCTGTGGGGAGGAGGACCTTAGGTGATCCTTAGAAATAAAGGCTAGTTCCTATTCGGCCTTGGAGTAGGGCGAAGAGGTGTAGACAGGCCTGAAGAAGCGAAGTAACAGCCTGAGTAAAAGCAAGACGTTGGAGAATATGAGATACATCTCATCCCTAGTAAATACTTAAATGACTTCCCCTCCTCCCGGAGTCAAGCACAATTCGGGGATGCAATGATGGATGTAGGTGAAGATACTACAGGAACTTACAAGTAATGACCGTCTAATACCAGTTTTAAGTACCATGAAGGAAAAAGCCGAGTGAAGAAGTGTGGAGAGGTGACACAGGGAGGTCAGGGAGGACTCCAGTAGGGTGACACATTTGAGCAAAGACGTGAGTGCAGTAGAGAGTAAGCTATGTCAGTATCAGAAAAAAGCACATTGTGGGCAAAGATAATGGGATATGAAATAATCCGTAGTCTTTGTTAGCTAGAGTATGATAAAAGTAGAAGGCAAGCCTGGAAAAACAGGTGTAAGAAATAGTTAAGACTTCCCAGTTGAATGGTTTAATTTCCAGATAGTGGCTCTGTTATATTTTTGAGTAGATGAACGATGTCTTTACATCAGACAAGATAGTTTGTCAAGTGGCTGTTTTATTTCTATTACCCTATCATTACCGTTTGTGCCTCGTGTTCATTATGATTCCAGGTTTACATTCCACTTAGGTGGTGGTATTTCTGTTTCGTACAGAACTGGTTTGTGGCCTGTTTGATTCCTGTCAGAGGTTTGCTGACCCAAGACAGTATCGAAAATGCATATTAAGTCGATTATTCTAGAGGGATTCAAGTCCTATGCTCAGAGAACCGAAGTCAATGGTTTTGACCCCCTCTTCAATGCTATCACTGGCTTAAATGGTAGTGGAAAATCAAACATATTGGACTCCATCTGCTTTTTGCTGGGCATCTCCAACCTGTCTCAGGTAAGGTGTAAACTTTCTGATTTATTTGAATTTAAGTGGGCAGGAGAATCCTCCCTGAACTTTGGAGACTTACCAATATTCTCTTCATTTGTGTTTTTATACTTTTTGTAAATTACACCTCACTGCCACATTTTAAGGAAACTATTATTACTCTTTTAGATGAGAAAATAGAAACATAGAGATGTTTATAAGTAACAATGCCTCAAAACTCAGGCTTTCTGACTGTAAAGTAGTCTCATTCCAGAGTATTTTCAACCCTGTGTTTGAAAATGCCTTTTCAAATCCTGCTAATGGATTGAATGACTAGTGAAAATCATTGGTACTGTCTTTCCTTATATCTTGCCAAGTAACTTTTTGTTAAAAAATGAATAGGAAACAATTCAGTTCAGAGTTGAAAAGGTTCTATAGAGAAAAGTGTCCATTGCAGGTTGTTACGTATTTTCCTTGCCAGAGTATGCAGCTGCCTATCCTTGTCTGCTTAGTGGACACTATGTTGGTGGATTTTCCAACAGCAAGGAATTCATTTTTAGTGCTGCTTTGTACAGTAGGGAGTTTTGTAATTGATACACTTTTCTTCTTTTATTTTAGGTTCGAGCTTCTAATTTACAAGATTTAGTTTACAAAAATGGGCAGGCTGGTATTACCAAAGCCTCTGTGTCAATCACATTTGATAATTCTGACAAAAAGCAAAGTCCTTTAGGATTTGAGGTTCATGATGAAATCACAGTAACAAGGCAGGTGAGTGGCTATTAAACGTTTCGATATCTTAAGACCTTTTATGTCTGATGTGGTTTTTGGCCCTATGCCTTTGCAAAACGTGCTAGAGAAAGTTGATGAGCAAAATTTGTGCCTTAAATTCTGAGTAGATTCCTTAATATTTTCCTTACATTAAAATTTTGATCATGTGCACTCTATCACTAAGAGAACTGAAAGAGAACTGAAAAGTTATTCATCCGGTATAAGCACTCAGCTATGCTGAAATCTTAAACCATACTTGAATCTTCTCTGGCTGTTCTTGAACACCTGTGTACTTGAGATCTTGCAGTCTTCTGAGATAACCCATTCTGTTTTTGGACAGGTCTTACTAGAAAGTTACCCCTATAAATTTTGTCAGAGTCTGCTATCTTCAAATTTTATTCATTAATCCTAGTCCTCTTGAGAGCACTAAGAGCAAATCTGACTTATTCCCTACTTCAGTGTTCAAGTGATCTGCAAGTATATGTGTTTTAGTTCTAAGTGAAATCTTGCCAGGTCTTTCATTGATGTTTGTTCCTAGTTCCTTCACTTGCCTGATTATACCAGATATGCTCCAGTTTCCCTCCCTGCCCCTGCATTCATCTATCTATCTTTTAATGACACCTTAGATTGAGTATACTAAAATCGGTCTAGTTAGAGTTATTCTTTCATTTTAGATATTCTACTTCTATTTTTCTCAGTAGAGCTTTTTTTTTAATGTGTGTTATTAATATAGTCAGGCAGTGTTTTCAGCTTGTCAAGGTTTTTTGTTTTGTTTTGTTTTTTGTGTTTTTTTTTTTGAAGACAGAGTCTTGCTCTGTTACCCAGGCTGGAGTGTAGTGGCACCATCTTAGCTCACTGCAATATCTGTCTCCCAGGTTCAAGAGAGTCTTCTGCCTCAGCCTCCTGAGTAGCTGATACTACAGGCACCTACCACCACACCTGGCTAATTTTTTTTTGTATTTTTAGTAGAGATGGGATTTCACTGTGTTGGCTAGGGTGGTCGCAGTCTCCTGACCTTGTAATCTGCCTGCCTCGGCCTCGTGAGCCACCGTGCCCAGCCCAAGGTTTTGTTTTTAAAAATGTGGTCAACTCCCATTTACTGTCCATCTTAGCATTTATCACTTACAGATTTTCTCCTCTATTTTAATGGAAGCCTCTGATTTAAAAAAAAAAAGAAATATAGGCTAGGTTAGGACAGAATCCTGTTCTATGTCGTTAGGCATCCATCAAATATTTATCCTTTAGGAACTGTCACTAAGTCTCTTACTAATAATCTACCTAATTGTTCCTGTCCTCATTCAAGCTATAAACTTGTATCTTCACCAAAATTACAAAGTTTTTGTCAGAGAGGTCTCTTCAAATACATTAATATATGAACTACCAACCTAGTAATCCTGTCAGGAAAAGAAATGAACCAATATTTATTCAATATTTATTAAATACTTGATGTATATTGGGTGTTCTTGAATGTACTGGGATGTAGTTAGAAGAATGAGAAACAGAGCTTGTCTTTAAGGACCTCAGTCTGGTAGATGAGACAGTCATACCCAATCAATGACAATTTAAGTGTGATAGTAGAGTATGGTATCTGAGATGACTTAATGAAACCACACTGAAGCTCTGTGATTACCCTTTCTTTTAAATGGTCACAAAGCATATCTTTATTAATAGCATTTTGAATCTTGTCAAGAATTGATGTCAAGCTACTTTGTCTGACGTCTGTTCCTGTTGAAAAGTAGAGAAAGTTAGCCTCTGTAGAAAAGTTAAAGAAAGAAGGTAACTAGGAAAGGAAAGTATGTTTTACATATACTTGGAAACATAAAGCTAGAAGGTAACCTTGGAGACCTAGTCTGGTGCAGGCCAGGGTAAGAGGCTTGTGTGTGATTACATAACTAGTTAGCAAAAGTACTTGCATTAAACACCGGTTGTCCTGACTCAAGTTAGTGTTTTTAGCCATGTCATACTTGTTCCACTATTAATGCAGAATTGGTTTTGTTTACTGCTAGTTGGACAGAACAAATAAACGTAAGCTAATATGCTTAGTAATTTACCCTAGCTCAAGGTGTGCATGTACATGAATATTTTAAAAATTGCTTTCTTTTATAGGTGGTTATTGGTGGTAGAAATAAATATTTAATCAATGGAGTCAATGCTAACAACACAAGAGTACAGGATCTCTTCTGTTCTGTTGGCCTTAATGTTAACAACCCTCACTTTCTCATCATGCAGGTATTTTGTTTGAGGTCTTTATGTCACTTTCGTAATAGTGTTGACATGTTTTACATTTAAGCAGTTAAAATGAAAGTACCGTATGTTTTGGATTTTATACTTTTTATTTACTATTGTGCTGTGTCTGGCCATCTGTTAAGAAATGTGGTTTAGTTACTTGCAGTGATATATTCTACTGTATTATAGACCTTTGACTCCTCTAGAATGTTTAGGAGTAATTTTTCTTGACTTTTTATGTTGTCACTAAAAGAAAAATACATGTTAACTATAAAAAAAAAAAAAAACGAAGAAAGCAAGCCATAATATGTCCTTTTAAATTATTGGATTAATGCATCTTAATATTTCAAGTATAAAAGTTTGAATAATTTGCTTATTTAGAGACACAAATGAGGAGTAAAGGCTGATTTTATCTTACATTTACATTATGTCATTTGACCCATCCAGCTATCCTTTGAGAGAATTACAGTAAAGTCAATGGGAGCATCTCAGTGGGACCAAAATAAAAATATTTCCACTACATACCTTCAGAGTTGAAAACTTACTTTTAAGTGAATCTACATTCTAGTAATACGATTCTCTGAGACCTGGGCATGCAGGTGTTTTGTTTTACTTGTTTTTGGTAATGAATGAATTTAATGGTTTACTGGCATTGATATTTTATTTTATTTGAAGCCTAGAAGTATGTCATCTGTTTTGTGAATTATCCTGGAGGGTTATCATTCAAATAAATTTTAAAAATTTATTAATTATGTCACAATTTCTTTTTATATTTACCTGTTTTAAAATTGAATATTTCTACTTATGAATGTTAACTGTCTCAGAAACATGGTCCTTGTTAACTTTGTATCATTTAATGAATTATTTCATTTGTATCATTTCCTAACTTCCATAATTTGTATCACTGGTAAGTGGGAAAGTTAATAGTAAAGTTCCAAAATTCTGGAATCATGGAAGAATTACAAAGGAAAGATCCCCAAAGATTGGTATAATGAGATAAAGCAGCTTCAGTCTAGATAAACATGAATGGCAGTACAGATAAACATTTTCTGTAATTTGTTATCTTAGTAAGTTTCCATTTTATTTTCAGGGCCGAATTACAAAAGTATTGAATATGAAACCTCCAGAGGTAAGAGTACTATTTATGGACATTAAAAATAGTTGGTATAGATATTTAATCTTTCAGACAATTTTTAAATATTATTAAAATTTTTGGAAACATTGTTTAGGAATGGTTAGTAAAGACAGTTGTATATTTGTGTAATGTTTGGCACTATGCCCAGACATTAAAATTGATTTTGATCGTGTAAAGGAGTCTTACTCAACTGGTGTTTCATGTCAGAATTCATTCCTACAGAATAAGCCTACAGGGAAAGATTTGTGTGAAATTACTGTATTTAACTTTAATGGTTCATTTGGGCCAAATTTTGATAAGATGTTTAGTGAGGTCAAGGCAAAAATGTTATATTTAATGTAAATTCCAGTTGGACACATTGTCTTGGATACTAAACATTAATAAAATTGTCATTCCAGATTTTATCCATGATAGAAGAAGCAGCTGGAACCAGGATGTATGAATACAAAAAAATAGCTGCACAGAAAACTATAGAAAAAAAGGAGGCTAAGCTGAAAGAAATTAAGACGGTAATTTAATTCATATAAAACATTTTTGGAGAAGAATGTAATTTTGCATGTAGAGTTTTTGCTGTAAAGAGGGAAAATTTTTTTTTCTTGGTTCAGTTTTCCATAGCCATCCATGCTACTTCTCTTTCAAATACATTTTAATAGTACTTTACATGCTGAAAATACTGATTTTTCTTTGTTTTCCAGATACTTGAAGAAGAGATTACTCCAACCATTCAAAAATTAAAAGAGGTATATTCTGTATATTTGAGGATAATCTATTAGAATGTCTTTCAAAGTCAGCGATGTATCCAAAATCATACACATGGTGATACTATCTCTTGGGGTTTTTTTCCTGCGATGAGATAAGGAATTAGAGTTGGCAGTCCATAATTGAGCCTTGTGCTTGCAGAGGATATATACTTACCTACTGAGTCATAGAATATTGGAGAGTAATATTTATAGTTTCAGAAAATGTTATGCTGAATTTTAATACTTTATTGAAGCTAAGCAAGTCTGGATTTTCTTAGATAAATAGGATTGACTGGAATAACATTTCTTAAAGATAATGGCACCCTTAGACACCCTCATTGGTAGAGTGAACAATTTCCAGGATAAGAGGGGCTATCACTATAATTATTGCTGTCAAGGTATTTTGTAAGCAGAAGGTGTTGAAACAGAGGATTGGGTTTTCTCTATCATCTTTGCTGCTCCTGATATCAAAAGACATGGCAGTATTTCATGAAAGAATACATTTATGAGCTACATTTTCGTTTTCTTGAGACAAGTCTCCCTCTGTCGCCCAGGCTGGAGTGCAGTAGTGTGATCACAGCTCACTGCAGCCTCCACCTTCCAGTCTCAAGGAATCCTCCCACCTTAGCCTTCTGAGTAGCTGGGGACTATAGGTGCATGCCACTACACCCTGCTAGTTTATTTTTTTTTGTAGAGATGGGGTTTCTCGTCGTTTCTTAGGCTGGTCTTGAAATCCTGGGCTCAAGTGATCCACCCACCTAGGCCTCGCGAAATGCCGGGATGACAGGAGTGAGCCACTGTGCCCAGCCAAACGACGTTTTTAAAGATATCCATTTAGGAATTTATTAAATGCTCATTGAAATTTGGTACTACTCAGAGCTGTCTTGTGAATCCATATAGTAGTGTATATTTTACTGGAAAAATTGTGGTCTTGAAGGTACCCTTTTTGTATGCATGATTTAGTAGAAAACACTAGATCAGGAATTTAAACTTAGGTCCTCGACTTGATTTTGCCACAGTTTCTTCCTAAATCTAACAACATGGACAGATCATTTCATCATTCTGAATTTGATTTTTATGTGTAAATTAAGGATTTTAGTTATTACTTTGTCTGGTCCCATTAGGTCCTTATGGGAATCATGTTTAGTAATAATGTGAGCAAGTGCTTATAGTAGTGCTTCAACGAATATTAAAATAGGCATCTTGGTAATACTGCTACAGAATCTGTGTAATAGTGTATCATTGGTGGGTGTGTAAGTTGTCTTTAACAGACTTATTAACACTAGCTTATGAACTTTATGTCCATATTTCTTTGTTAAGCTCAGCTGCCCAATTATATGTTAGAAGTAGTAGCCAAATAAGATTCACTAGAGAAGTTATAATGCTATCTGAAAGTCCTGACTTCTAATGTTGTGTAAAGTATCCTACAATTTAAGATGTTATAATTGTTTAATACAGGACAAAATCTGTTGTATCATGTAATGAGAAGTTTGATACATCTTGCATAATTGAATTTTTTTAAATACAATTTTGAGTTACTATTTTTTTGCGACTTCCCTTTCAGGAAAGATCTTCCTACTTGGAGTACCAAAAAGTGATGAGAGAAATAGAACATTTGAGTCGTTTATATATTGCTTATCAGTTTTTGCTGGCTGAAGATACCAAAGCACGCTCAGCTGAGGAGTTAAAAGAAATGCAAGATAAAGTTATAAAGCTTCAGGAAGAATTGTCTGAGAACGATAAAAAAATAAAAGCACTTAATCATGAAATAGAAGAATTGGAAAAAAGAAAAGATAAGGTTTGAACATATGTATTAGAATCGATAATATACTCTGGAAAACGTACTACATTGTGGTAACTATTTAGGATTCAGTGGGCATTGTCTGTTGTATTGATTTCTTAATCTTACAGTAAGATAATGAAATAACTTATAAAAAAGTATTTGATACAGAACTCATACAATAAAAAGACAACATGAACAAATTTTATATAAATTACTGACGACTGCATTTTATTACAGGAAATTGGAGGTATACTTCGATCTTTAGAAGATGCTCTTGCAGAGGCTCAGCGAGTTAATACTAAATCTCAAAGTGCATTTGATCTCAAGAAGAAAAATCTGGCATGTGAAGAAAGCAAACGCAAAGAGCTGGAAAAAAATATCACTGAGGTAAGTGAGCTTAATGTGCCACTAGTGCCACTTGTAGACAAGTGTATAGTCTCACTAGTGTACATTTATCTATTCCATGAATATTTAGTGAGTGTCTGCTATATGCTAAGTACGGTTGTTTGGGCTGGGGTTACAACTGGACCAAATGGTCAGAAGTCCTTGCCTTGTGGGCGTTCATTCCATTGGGGGAAATGATAATAAAGAAAATAAATAAAACGTGTAACATGTTACATAGTGATAACTGATGTGGAAAAAAAGTAAAGCAGGGAAGGGGATTAGGAGTGTAGAGGAAAAAGGGTACAGTTTGGGATTTTAAGTTGGGTAGCCATTGAAGTAAGGTGGAGAGTAGGGAGAACAGGTTTGATAAGCTTAAGAAATACAGTGTGAATGTAATATGCGTGAGGAGCCTGTTAAGACATCTTGAGTAGTGATGTTGATTAGGTACTTAAATATATGAATAGTGAATCCAGGCAAAAATACACATTTGGAGAGATCATCAATGTATAGGTGTTATTTAAATCCATGAGACTAGATAAAATGATCAAGGCTGTAAGTTTATATAAGAAGGTTGGAGCCCTGGGATACTTTCAATATTTGAATGTTTGGATAGTTCAACATTCAAAACAGATTGAGTAGCGTGAGGAAAATTAGGCGAGTTAAGTTGTCCGGGAGTTCAGGTAAAAAAGATACTTCAAGGAGAAGTGTCCATGAGTACCTGATTAGATTGTGTTCATACTCTGACAGAATGAAAGCAGAAAAAAGAAAAGTGACTATAGATAACTTTTTGAGAAGTTTTCTGAAAGAAGGAGAAATAGGGAGCTGACTGGAGGGTAATACAGAAGAAAGAGTTTTTTTGGCTTGATTTTACATGGGATAAATCAATTCTATATTGACAGAAAAGATCCGGTAGAAAAGGCGTCATTTGTAATTCAGGAGAGAGAGATGGAAGAGTTGTTAAAATAGGGCCCTTTAGTAGCTGAAAGTAGGATAGGAACTAACGTATAGAGGTCACCTTCATGAGAACTAGGAATAGGTCATCCATGGTAACAGAAGAATCAAGTATATAGTCTCATATGTAGGTAGATGAGTAGGTGTGTTTTTGGAGCTTATGGCATTTCTTTTGAGGGTGATTCTGTTGTCCCAGTGAAGATACACATTTGCCTTTTCACTGCAGAAAAATTAACTTTTTGAAAATAATTTCTTTATACTGCCCTGTTAGATATTTTTGTAGAGAAATACAGTGGTTGAATTAAGAAACAGAGGAGGAAAATTTAGACAAAATTTTGAAGCAATATGAATGTGATGTAGCAGTCTGTGTTGTGACATCCAACAACTGAAATCAATTCACCAATTACTTTTTTTTTTTTTTTAAGGTTTTGTAAAGCTCTAAACGTGTGGGCCTGCCTTGTTTTGGGTTCATTTTTCTTTAGTGTTGTCATGTCCTTAAGCTTCACACACTGATTGCTCCTTTTTCATCCTTCTTTTCTGTATCCCTTATTCTTCTAGATCTCTTAATGTTAGTATGCCCTAAGGCTAGCACTCTGATATCTTTTATAAACATTCATGACATAGGTGGTCTCATCCAGGTCTGTAACTCTAAATATCATCTATATGTTGATACCTTCCAAATCTCTAAGCAGTCTTAACTCCCTGAACTCTTTGAAGCAGGTTTATGGTATGCAGGTTACCAGCTTGTCTGAGGACAGCAGACAGAACACATTCATACACAACATTTTATGTGAAATGGATTTATTACTTATTGATAGGCAACAAGGGAAAACAGAAGTCTAGGATTCATTGCAAGCCGATCCCCCAAGGCTCAGAAAAGCTGCCTAAGGTGGTTAGAATTTCATTTGTGCCCAACTTGCACAGCAGCTGAGGGACCCCAGAAAACAGCCTGCTCTGGGTTTATACCCTGGAGTAACATGAGACACTGGGCTGAAGCATTGAGATTCTGTTTTAGGGCAGCTGGAGGAGCAGACAGGAACAGTCCTGGCTGTTCCAGCCATTGCCTCCCTTTCTCGGGATATTGCATTATCAGCACATTCTACAGTTATTCTTGAGAACTGTAAGCCAGAGAGGGAAGAACTGGCTTAGTCTAGTGCCACCTAAGGAGTTGTCTTGTAGTTTATCCTCCAATCTAGGTTCCCACACTAGCAAAGCTAGTCCTTTTATTATGCCCACAGACTTCTCTGCATCTGAAGGAGAAGGAGGTTTGTCTTAGATGGATATAACACTGTGACTGACGTAATCTCACTGCAGTATTGTTGAGCCATAGCCAGAATACATTTCACTGTGCCCAGGAGGACTACAAGCAGGATGATCAGGCCTGCCTGGAGCACTGACTCAGCCCAGGATCCCAGTAATCCAGATATGAAGTTGTTAAAGAGGTCAAAGAAGGATCCTTCAGACCTGCTTCCAGATCTGTATTTGTGGCTCTGCAGTACCTAAGGTGTTTATCTAGATACAGCAGGAAGCGTTGGCAACCACATATGCTCTTTCCACTTGTGCTAACAGATTTAGAGCAGTTGTCTAAAACAGCCTTCCTAAGGGATATCTGCTGAGCTGAAAAGCAATGTTATGTATGGTACCGAAGATTTTATAAAGCACTTAAACCGAGAGTCAGTAAAACCTCTTGGTAGGTCCTGAGTAAATCTGTTGTACACCTTTAGGCTGCTGGCCCTAGGATGCATCTCATTTCTAGGAGTGATACGTAGGGGCATCCCCCAGCATGCCCAACATACAGGATCCCACCATCTGCCAGCTTTCCAGGCCTGACATCGCCCATCTTCTGTTTGGGTCACTCCTACACTGCCCATGGAAAATGATGTAGTCCTTGGCAAACATCTTTTTTACCTGGACTCCAGGACAACTTACTGGCCTAATTTTCCTCACAGTACTCAATCTCTTTTGAATGTTAAACTATCCTAACATTCAAATGTTGAAAGTATCCCAGGGCTTCAGCCTTTTTACATAAACTTACATAGCACCGTTTCCCCCGTTTTACTGTTCAGTGACCCCATTCATGGGTAGGGAGGCATTAGCGTTTGCCAGCTAAATCTCATTAGTGGTATAGTTGCATAAGTTCAATTTCCCCCATACAAAATTGTTCATGAAGCTCCTACACAGAGGGCTTGCACTAGTTCATTGTGTTTCCTTCGTCACCAATGGGACACACCCATTGAGGTGAGGTTATGTTTCATCATGACATTTTGCCACAGTTAAGTTAAAATGGCATTTTTAGCACCCTTTTATGTGACAGATGCTATGTCCTCTCGTGTAAGCCAGGGGTTGGGGTCTATTGATGTACACTGTGACATTAGGAATGCTAGGGTAGTTCAGTGCTAGCAGAACCAGATTGTCACTGTGGGCTATGACAGAAAGTTCCTGGATGTCATGTCTAACATCTTATGTTACCCGCCATGGCCACAGCTTGGGAGGTGTGTTGCTTCCAGGTCTTTGCTGCCACATCCTTGTGGAAAAAGTGTATTGACAGGTTAGTGCTCCCACCTAACACTCTCCTGGGATCTCAGATGTTCCCACCTAGCACTCTCCTGCGATCTCAGATGTTCCCGAGCTATCATAGGGATTGGGCTATACGTTGCAGTGCTGTGTTTCCTTTGTGCTAAAGTACAGTGTTTAGGTCCATAATGCCCTAGTCAGATGTTGGTACCACCTCACTTACAGGCCACCTTGATATCCTTCAGTTACTTTATGAGTAGGCTATTTCATTGTTTCCTTTTCGTTGCTTCATTTTAGCTCCATTGGCTTGTGAATAACAGGGTGCATGGAAACTCCATTGTATTCCACAAGAGAATGCCCATTGTCATGCAGGTTGGGCAGTGAAAGATGTTCCTTGGTCAGAGTGAAGTATGATGAAGTATCAAAAAAAATGACATGTTTCTTTCAAGGGTAGCATCAGGGTCCATATGAGTGACATATATTTGTCGCTTTCAGAAAGCATGTCCTTGTTTCCACATAGGGGATTTTTTTAAATTTAATTTTATTTATTTATTTATTTGAGACAGGGTTTTGATCTTGTTGCCCAGGCTGGAGTGCAATGGTGCGATCTTGGCTCACTACACCTTGCATTCTGCCTCCCGGGCTCAAGCAATTCTCCGGCCTCAGCCTCCCAAGTAGCTGGGATTACAGGAGTGCACCACCACGACTGGCTAATTTTGTACTTTTAGTAGAGAGAGGGTTCCTCCATGTTAGTCAGGCTGGTCTCAAACTCCGACCTCAGGTGATCTGCCTGCCTCAGCCTCCCAAAGTGCTGGGATTATAGGTGTGATCCATCATGCCCGGCCCACATAGGGGATTTTTTTTTAACAGTCCAGTCACTAAGTTGCCCTTCTGCTGACCAGATGGCTAGGCTGTTGGCAACAGCCTATGACTTGGTGAAATGTAGCAAGATATGGCGATGGGGTGGCCCAAATGGACATCATCACTGCATGTAGTTTGACCCATTGATCATAATGTCCATGTTCAGCCTCAGTCAAAAGATGACCACTTATTGGCCTGATGGTGGCTACAGTCAAGAGGATCCCTCCTGTTTTGTTTGATGGAACTTTCAGTAAATCACGCCATACCATTGGTAGGCACATCTCAGAATCTTAGGACCCAGGGAGCCAGAGGAGAAGCCAAAGCATCCCCTGTGGGTTGTTTGGACCCTTCTAATAAGCAAGCCATTTTTTTCATGAAGCCCCCTGGTCCCTTGGGGTTGCAACTGGGCTTGATTTCAAATGTACCATTTCTGTATGATAATCAAGCTCTTTTGAGTCTGCTCCAATTCATTAATAGGGTTTTTTTGTTGTTGTTAGCACCCAAGTGTGGGCAGTTTAAGTCACAGAGTCACATGTAGTGCTCTAGCCTTAAGACACACAGTCTCCACCAGTGCACAACAGCAAGCAAAAAGTTACATTCCAAGAGTTGTATTGGGTGGCTGCCTCAAGCAACTTAAAGTTCAACTTCGAAGAGGCTAGGTCTCCCCAGTGACAAGTTTCTGTTGCCATTGACTCCAGTCAGCATGCATGGTGGTTGTGGACACCTGTCATTGCATCAGACTAACAGACTGTAAATGTTTTAAAAGCAGCAGCAAGGCCACCACTTTACATTGTTTTCTAAGGCCTGCTACTGCAAAGTCCATTGTTCAAAGTTGGCAGTTTTGTTGGTCACCAGGATTAAAGGGGGCCAAAAAAACACCCACATGGGTTATATGCTGTGTTTAGTACCCAAGAGACCTACCAGCTGTGGGGCTTCTTTTTTGTTAGTAAGTGTCACCAGCACCAACCATTTTTGTTTGACTATATCTGGGATACTTCCTTGGCTTTCTGTCCAAGTGACCTTGACATTCAGCTTATGACCATCCATTAGTCTTCATGCCCCAAAGGCCTGTCTGACCAGCCAGACTAGGCCAATGCATTGTGACATTTTTATCTATAGTGGGTTTTGAATTAAGAAAGTAGTGTCTTATTCTCCATTTGATATGCAGTACTGCTTTCATTGAGTAACTTATGAGGTCTTGGGTAAGTCTTGAATAACATGAAGTGTTAGGTGGCAGGCCGGGGTGGATATGTGCCACGGGTATAGCTCCAATTCTTAGCAGCGAGGGGCATACCTCCTCAGGTGGTGGTGATGTTCTGCACCACAAGCAACCAAACTATCAATATCCATACTCAGTGGTGGGAACTGTGGTCACCAGCACCCAAAGTGACACAAAGTATCTACTCACAGCACGTAAGCATGGTGAGTCATTACATTTGCCCAAAACCCTCCCATGGTCATCAGTTTAACTTTTCCCTAGGAAAACTGGAAATAAGTCCTGTGGGCTCCAGCATCCAAGAACTCCAGAAAAGCCTACTTTCATTTCTTTTTCTCATCTTAACAGGAGTATAGGGCCATCTCTGTTGGGGACCTGGAGACCTTGGTCCTGCTCTAAACTATTCCATTTAGCCATTTGGATCCACAGTGTCCCTTTATCAAAAAAACACTTCAACCAGGCTGCATAAGCCTTTCCTGGCCTTTCTGTATACTCATCCTCTAGATAGTGAGCTTCATTTTCTATGAGGCCTGCGTTGTGTGTGTTGGTTCTCTCAGATGCCTCAGGGACTGTCTCAGTACCTCGTTCCTGTTCCCTCTCAGGAGCCATCTGACTACCCGCTTCCTGAGCTGTCTGGCCCTGGGAATGAGCAATTACATGTGTCAAACAACCAGGGGATCATGTGCCAAGCTCCCCCATTTCTGTTTCTTGCTCTGCCTCAATTCATGCAGCCAGCTCATTCATTGAGGGGGTTATCTATATTCCATTTATTATGGCTCCTTCTCCATAAAACATCCAGCTGCATATCCAAGCCCCTCAACCCTTTAGGGTGATATATCTGCCCTAGGCTGGGTATTGGGGGCAGGGAGGCAAAGGGGTGAAGCCATTCAAGCTTTATCAGTAAGCCATGGTTCTGTCAGAGCAGACCCTACTAACAGCACTGATGGTATGAAACAAGTTCACTATGTACTAGTTACCAACTTGTCAGTGTTAATGGAACTCACTTATACAGCACAAGTTATATGAAGCAAATTTATTTCCTACAGATAGGCAGTAATAGTAAAAGCCTAGGTTTCATGGTGGGCCATTCCCACAAGTGTTGGATGGAGTTTCATCTGTGTGCTCCCCATACAGCTGAGGGACCCCAGAAAGCAGCTTGCGCTGGGTTTATACCCCAGGCTATAAACCCAGCTTGCCCTGAGTTTATACCACAGAAATAGAGAAATGGGGGTGGTCAGCACTGGTTTACATGAGTTGCTGAGCTAAAGCATGAAAAGACATGCATATTTCTAGGAGGGAACTGAAATAGAGTATGGATTATTCAGGCCATTCCCTCTATCAGAATGTTGCATTTTCTAGCACATTCTACAGCTATTTTTGAGAACCACAACTGAGAAAGGGAGAACAAGATTAGTCTAATGACATCCAGATGACTGTCCAACAAACTGTAGATTTCTTCGTCCAGCTACTTAATTAACATTTTTACTTGGATGACTTTTAAAAAGTGTAAAACTTAACATTTCCAGAATAGAATTTAGGAATTTTCCTCATCTACCCAGACCCACCTGAGTTACTGAATTTTCCTTATGTCAGTAAATGGTACCACTATTTACCTAATTGTTGAGGCCAGAAATCTTAAGAGTCCTCTGGATTCTCGCCATTCTTTAAATATCTAGATCCAGTCTATCAATAAATTCTGTTAACTTTAAAAGTGTATTCAGAATACAGCCACTTTTTGTTACCTCCATTACTGCCAACCTCATTCAAACCATCACCTCTCATGAGGGCTACTGCAATAATGTGCTTATTAGTGGCCCTACTTTTTTCCTGTTGCCACTCTATAGTCTGTTCTTTACAGAAGCTAAAATATAAATTGAATCACATCACTCCTGTGCTTAAAATCCTTCAGTGGTTTCCAGATTACATGTACGCTGTATGACACTGGAACAACATGGGTTTGAACTGCGTGGATCGACTTATTAGCAGATTTTTCTCAATAAATATATTGGAAAATTATGTGAAGGTTTGCAACAATTTGAAAAAACTTGCAGACAAATACCATATGGCCTAGAAATATCAAAAAAATTAAGAAAAAGTTAAGTATGTCATAAATGCCCAAAATATATGTAGGTACTAGTCTATTTTATCATTTACTACCATAAAATATACAAAAATCTATTATAAAAAGTTAAAGTTTTTCAAAACTTAAACACCATACTTGGCACTATTTGTAGTTCAGAGAAATGTAAACAAATGTAAAGATGCAATATTAAATAACTGCATAAAACTATAGAACATACTACACTATTGTAATACTTTTGTAGCCACCTCCTGTTGCTATGGTGGTGAGCTCAGGTAAACTCAGTGTGGCATTAATCGTTTACTTCTGAGTAGTTCATGTTTCCAGTAAGTTGCAGAGCTCGGTAGAAAGTGATGTCTTGTGGTTCTCGTGTATTTTTCATGTTTAGTGCAATACCATAAACCCGAATAACATGGGATCTATATGAAGTGGCACTAGTGATACGGAAAATGCTCCCAAAAAGCAGAGAGAAGTCAGGATGCTACAAGAAACAGTTGAGTTGCTTGATAATATACCATAGATTGAGGTGTGCAGCTGTGGTTGCCTTCCTTTCCAGACAGATGATTTATCTTGTAAACAGATGATGTAAACTTATCGTGTCAGTAAATACACTACAGTACTGTAAATGTATTTTCTCTTATGCTTTTAACATTTTCTTTTTTCTAGCTTTATTGCAAGAATACAATATATAATGTAGCATACAAAATATAAGTTAATTGTGTTATTGGTAAGGCTTTGGTTAACAGTAGGCTATTAGTAGTTAAGTTTTTGGGGGAATCAAAAGCATATGTGATTTTTGACTGTATGGTGGGTCTGTACTCGAACTCCCATCTTGTTTAAGGATCAACTATATAATTAAATCTAGGTCTTTACCATGGCCTGCAAGGTGCTTCATGATATGACTCTTGGCTCCTTAACCATTTACTCACTGTGCTCCTAGTCCAGTTCCTCAAATATTCAAACATGTTCCTCAGGGCTTTCAAGTATACTGCCCCACAAGTATTCGCACGGTCACTCCTCCTACTTCATCCAGTCTTCCGTTCAAATGGCATCTCAAAGGCCTTCTCATTCTTCTTGAAGCAAGAGTTCCTATCACTCTATTCCCCAACCTTGTTTTGTTTGTTTACCATGTCTTCTAACCTTGAATATAGGCTCCCTTAGAACAGCGACTTAGTCTGTGTCTTTAATGTCTTAGAACAGGGCCTACTATACAGTAAGCACTTCATAAATGATGAATCATGAACTAATCAAGTGGACCAAAATTTGTTGTCACTTTAATTGTAAATAAGATAGTTAGATTTTCTTTTTTCAGGGCTGGTATCTTGCGTAGTGTCAGATATCTGGTTAATATTACCGAAAAGGTGTTACATAATAGTAATACCTTTTCTATAACTAGTGCTCAAATTTTATGGCTCTTGACAGTTTATAAAATACTTTCATATACATACTCTTAATTCTAAAATCTCTACTTTTAAGCTTAGTGTAGGATGTCTGTTATTTCAGTTTTACAGTTTTAGAAATTCATTTTTAGTCCCTTCAAGAGATTTGTTTAAATCTGCAATTATTATTTAGCCCAGTGTCTCATGGATTTAATTTATAACATGGAATGAAAATATTTCAAGTAGTATAAGAGTTATATTTATTCTAAAAACTGTAATTTCAAAATGATAATTCAGTATTTATATACAGTTATGATGGTTAAATTATTTTATTATGCTCACTCCAAATTGCTATGGAATTTGATTACATAAGGGTATATGCGTATAAGAAACTGGATGTTTTTCCTGAAATACATTATTTTTCCATTTGAAACTCTTCCTAAAGGACTCTAAAACTTTAGCAGCAAAGGAAAAAGAAGTTAAAAAGATAACAGATGGACTGCATGCCCTTCAAGAAGCAAGTAATAAAGATGCTGAAGCTCTGGCGGCTGCACAGCAGCACTTCAATGCTGTTTCCGCTGGCCTGTCCAGTAATGAAGATGGAGCAGAAGCAACTCTTGCTGGTCAAATGATGGCCTGTAAAAATGATATAAGTAAAGCTCAGACAGAAGCCAAACAGGTAAATATAGACATTAAGCACTATATGATTGCTTTTTTTTTCAAGAAGTTTCTTTTCACATTATGCTTTGGCAATTGTTACATAGTGTTGAAAATAATCAGTGTCAAGGAACTTGTTTATTTACATTATTCTGCAACTCTAATGCCTAATGCAGGAAAAGTCAAATATATTATTGCTAAATATTGATGAACTTAATTTGTTAAGTTGCTGTACAACGTAAATTACGTTAATTCAGTATGTAAGTGTAATAAATGCTTTGTTCTGCTTGCAGCATTGTGTGGAATTTTAGAGATTAATCCATTCTTTTTTTGGCTATTTTTGTTTTTTATTAATATCATAGTGTTGAAGTCTTAAGCTTTAACAGGAAAACAGGATTGTCCTTCCCATTGCTTTGCCTATCATACCTAGTTCTTAAAACCTTGTTTCTGAAGCTTTACATTTTTCTAGGAAGTATCTCTACCTCACATTTAGCCACATTCTAGTCTTTGTTCTCCCTACTCTGATTTCATAATCTTAAAAGTCTTGTCAGTCTATTACAGTGTTTCTCAGATTTTACATAGTAGTGCAACTTCAAGTCCTATGAACACAAGAATTTTGCTAGCAGAAAAAATACATGTACACAGGCATATCATTGTTTCTTTTTTAATGGAAGATGCAGATTTTAAAACAGGTACACAAATGTGTGTGATTATGCATTAATCCTCAGGTTTCCTCTTTATATATTTGCAACTTTTTCATTCAGGCATGACAGAGATGACAGTCACAAATTTATAAGAACTCTCAACAGTAGAAAATCTTTAAAGTACTCTGTCTATTATTTTATAAGGGAACTGGGAAAAAATACACAGTTTTGGAGGATACCCCCATCTGGGTTTTAGAATACTAGTTCATAGTTTTAAGAAGCAGTGGTCAATTGTATAAACTCTTGAATGCCTGACACATTTAATTTAAATAGTTCTAGCATTTAATTATTAGACTCTCAGCATTTAAGTTTCTTTGTCAGTTTAGCTTCTTTTCCTGTATAATTTTAGATCTTACTGCTCAATTCAGTTTCTTAACTGTTTTTAGACAGCACTCACAAATATATACAAATACAAACATAAACAACTAAGTAGAAAGAAAAGGAAGGAGAGTTATGATTTCTAGCTTGCTGTAATTACCAGCTACTGACAGTTATTTGATATAATTCTTCAATTTTAATATGTCATATCTTATTAAAAATATGGGCTTTAATTTCAAATTCTTTAACAACATATCAATCATATATTAGTTTATATTTTGAGTAGTTTTTGAGGAGAAAATACTGGGAAGTGACTAATTTGTTGAAATACTAATCCAAGAGACCAAACAGTTAAATTTTTAAGGCTAAGGTCTCTTAGTAAAACCAATCTGAATCTGGCCATTTAATTACTAGCACTGTCTGCCTCATACATCCTATAGTCTGTTGCATTTTTCTGCCACAGGCTCAGATGAAGCTGAAGCATGCTCAACAGGAATTAAAGAATAAACAAGCTGAAGTTAAGAAGATGGATAGTGGCTACAGGAAGGATCAAGAAGCTTTAGAAGCTGTAAAAAGACTTAAAGAAAAACTTGAAGCTGAAATGAAAAAGCTAAATTATGAAGGTTTGCCTTTAAAAATATGATAATCAGATCATGAGGAGGTAGTGATTTTTGATAAAAAGCTAATTTAAATAAAGAACACAAGCAAGTAGGAAACATTTCTTAGCCTATTAATGAGCGTTAGTATAAGAAGTGTTTGTTAGTAAAAAAAAAAAATACTTAATTATAAAACAACTCTTGAATTTTTGAAAACTCAGTATTGAGAATTTCCTGCTTCAATCATTTGAAAGCTCAAAAATGTCATTTGTGTATTTCTACATTAGTAGGCATTCAGTTTGTATATTATTTTTTGGAATGAAAATTGTTATTTGCTGTTGGAAATAATGTTTGACAATGGATAGAAATTGGAAGGTTCAGCCTGCTTTTGTAATACTTAACAGAAATTTGTATTGTTTGCATGTTTTGGAAATAGTGGTTACTAATATTTTCCTTAAAACAGTAGACTGAACTTTTAAAACTTGGTTTTATTATGATTTATCTTTCAGAAAATAAAGAGGAAAGCCTTTTGGAAAAGCGCAGGCAGCTGTCTCGTGATATTGGTAGATTGAAAGAAACATATGAAGCTCTATTAGCCAGATTTCCCAATCTTCGATTTGCATACAAGTAAGAGACTTAAGCCTTGAATTTTAAGGTAGAAGTAATCAAGACATTTTTATTTAAGCTGGAAGCAGTCTGAAAGTTTTGTCGACACCAAGATTTTTGTATGAAACTTGTTGTAACTGCTTTTCTTTCATTGGTATTTTTCCTTTAAGCATTTGTTGAAATGTTTTAAATGTTGGCAGGGAAATTCTTGTGAAATTTAATGGCTAATGATGCCACTAATCTTAAAATCAGGGAAATTTAATCACAGTTCAAAATGTCTTCAAAGTTATTCTGTCATTAATGTTAAATATCCACGTTTACATTTATAATTTGTTTTGCTATGTGGGTTTTTTAATGGAATATTTACAGTAATCATATGTATGATAGGGATTAGAACATCAGAGTTCTTATTACATTGAAACATACTGAAAGATCTATTGATTGATGTAAAAACAACAGCTGGCTAGTCATTTGGGACATTTTTAAATTTTTGGTTTGTTAAAACCATGTGCTGATTCTGCTTTCATTTCACTTTAATGTGTTGTCCAAAAGAGCTCTTGATGAGTAAAGTATAACTTTTTCTACTTTATTATCTAAGATAAATTTTTGTCAACTGTTGTATTTCAGGGATCCAGAGAAGAACTGGAATAGAAATTGTGTGAAAGGACTTGTGGCTTCTCTGATTAGTGTGAAAGATACTTCTGCAACCACAGCTTTAGAATTAGTGGCTGGAGAACGACTCTACAATGTTGTAGTAGACACAGAAGTAAGTCGATTTTAATTTAAAAAAATTTTTAATTTGGTTAGCTTGAAAAGTAATGTGCTGCTAAAAGAATTGAATACGTTCTTGATGTTTTAAGGCTCTCCCCTAAGGTGACATATTTACAGGGTAAAACTGTTTGGTTCATAACTTTTTGGCAGCTATTCCAAAGGAAGGCACATGCTTACTCAGAAACTCAGAATGCATATTACCATTCTGAAACTTTTGGGATCTCTTTGCTGTATAAGTTGAATTTAATTTGTAAAATAATCTGAGAACAAATGACCTGTTTTTAATGTCAGTCTTCCCATCAAGGTAACATTGAATATATCTACATTTCTTCAGTTCTCCTTGTTATCCTTCTGTAAAATGCTCTTACTTTTTCCTGTAAATGCTACATAGTCATTGTCAAATTTACTTCCTTTTTTTAAAAATTTATATTATATATATTTAAAATGTACAAGAAACCTGGATACGGTGGCTCACACCTGTAATCCCAGCACTTTGGGAGGCCAAGGTGGGCAGATCATTTGAGCCCAGGAGTTCAAGACCAGCCTCGGCAACATGGCAAAACCCCATCTCTACTGAAAATACAAAAGTTAGCCAGGCACGGTGGCGTGCACTTGGAGTCCCAGCAACTCTGGAGGCTGAGGCATAAGAATTGCTTGAACTTGGGAGGTGGAGGTTGCAGTAAGCTGAGATCACACCACTGCACTCCTGCCTGGGCAACAGAGCAAGACTGTATCTCTAAAAAAAGAAAACAAATGTACAATAAGATGTTTTGATACATATACATGGTGAAATGGTTGTTGTAGTCAAACATATTAACATAGCCATTCACCTTTCATAGTTACCTTTTTTGTGTGTGATAGCACCTAAAATTTACTCTTAGCAAATTTTCAGTATACACTATTATTATAGTCCTCATGCTATACATTACATCTCTGAATAGGTAGATTTATCCATCCTACCCAGCTGCAAATATGTACCCTTTGACCTGTGACCTCCTTCCACCCATTTTCTTTCCCTCCTCCCACCCATTTTCTTTCCCTCCTCATCCCTAATAACCACTATCCTACTCTTTTTATTTGTTCAACTTTTTTTTTAAAGATTCCATGTACAAGTGAGGTCATACAGTATTTTTTTTTTCTTTGTCTGATTATGTCACTTAGCATTATGTCTTCTGGGTTTATTCATATTGTCACAAATGTCAGCATCTCCTTTTTCAAGGTCAAATGATGTTCCATTGCATATATAATTATAGCTTGATTGTTTGGGATAAGTGGCACTAAACATTTGTTATAGACTACTAAACTTGCATTCTCTCAATTTTCTGTCTTCTTTAACGTGCGTTTTTTAAATTCTAATGTGTGTTGTAGGTTACTGGTAAAAAGCTACTCGAAAGGGGGGAACTGAAACGTCGATACACCATAATTCCACTCAATAAAATTTCAGCCAGATGTATTGCACCAGAAACTCTGAGAGTGGCTCAGAATCTTGTAAGTCTCATTTTGTCTTATTTATATGTTTAGTCTTCATCTGTGTGGGTGTGTGTTTTTTTTTAAGTTAGAAGACATTAATTTTGAGGGACATAATCATATACAGAACCACAAAATTAAAATACAAGAAAATTGGGTTGGCTTATGCAATTAGATGACAAGAGAAGAGAAATGTTGAAAGACTTGAACTCCCTTTCATATACTTCACTTTGTGGTATTAGAATGTCCTTTTTAACCTTAAGTCGCATGACTATCAGGTGATGGTGAAAATTACACTCCTGATTCCTGAATGGTTAGAATTGAGCTTCTAGAGAAATACCCCAAATTCTTCAAGTTTTTGTTTTTGTTTCTATGTCAGGCATACTTAAACTGCCCACAGTGACATCCATTGTGGGAGGCCTTCATTAGTATTGCAGTGATGCTTCTTTATTAGAGTTCTTCTAGATTATTATTCAGCCTGTGCAGGTACATAGCAGGTGACCAGGATCCCATTCAACTGCTGACGTTGATCTAAAGTGACATGCTTGCTAGTAAGAAAATAGATCAGTCCAAGGAAATACATTTAAAAGTTATTGTAGCTGTGTAATACTGTGAAAACATGAAGTCAGTCGTAACATTCAGCTGTAATCAGTTTTTTTATTGAGCGGACATTCCAAGTACATGAGTTGAAAAGACATATCTATGAAACTTACAAATATACTTGTAACTAATTGGATGTTGTATCCTTAGTTAAATTCAGAAGATTTCAATGAAAAGGATTTCAAAATATAGTTGTGTTGATATGTATACTATCAGGAGAGGGAGGATGAGTGCTGAGTAACTGAAAGGTGGTGTTTTTGGTTGGTACTCTCTTTACTTGAAGAATCACCATTAAGTCCAGAAGCATCAGGAAGTTAATTCAGCCATACATCAAGTCCCAGCATTAGAAGGAAATTGGGATTTCAAGTAACAGCAAAAATACTTTGCCTCAGATCCCTTAGCCAGACCTATTTGATGGTAGCTGCCACATCAAAGAACAGTACTGAACATGTGTTACATAGAGCTTCCTTCGTTGTGATTGCCACTGCTGATACTAAGCTCTAAAAGAGATGCTTATTTCTTCTTAAAATGATGGCAGAGGTAGCGTCTATAAACAAAGGCTGAGAAGAAGCATTGTGATCAAAATAGAGGACTGAGGGATTTTTAAAATTACTTTTACTCTCTCAGTTATTACTTGTGTTTTTATTTCTGTAACTGGCAGATGACTGCTCTAGCATGTTTCATTTGTATGAAAAAATATTTGTTGTGAAACCAAATTCCTGATTATTGAAACAAAATTTTCATATAGTTGTGTTGATCTGGGAATTACAGGTTAAGCACTCCAAGTCCAAAAACTGAAATTTTCCAAAAATCAAAACTCTGACACCCAAAAAATGCTCATTGGAGCATTTTGGATTTAGAAAGTTCAACCACTGTAGTACAAATACACCAAAATCTAAAAACTGAAACACTTCTGTTCTAAGCATTTAGGATAAAGGATACTCAATCTGTACCATCATTAAGAAAGTTGTGTCCAGTCAACTTTGATAATGGACACTTAGAAACATGGTGATGGCTCCTTATTGATAGAAACTTTCATAATGCCCAGTACTAGCTATTAATCAATATTTTACTTAGCAATAGATCTTTCAGTATTTAAACCTGCAATTTTTTTTTCCTGAAACTTCGGGTTTTACATAGCTTTTTAGAAAGTTCAGAAAGAATTTTAATGCTAGGTAAGTATTACTTAAGTTTCCATTACAGCAGTTCTTACTAGTTTCTAAAATAATACCTGAAAGGAAAAAAAACTAGTATGTACTGTGGCGTATCTATTGTTGTCCCACAGGTTGGCCCTGACAGCGTTCATGTGGCTCTTTCCCTGGTTGAATATAAACCAGAACTTCAGAAAGCAATGGAGTTTGTCTTTGGAACGACATTTGTTTGTGACAATATGGATAATGCCAAAAAAGTGGCCTTTGATAAGAGGATAATGACTAGAACTGTAACTCTCGGAGGGGATGTGTTTGATCCTCATGGGACATTGAGTGGAGGTAAGTTTTATAGCCTTTTGTCCTCACAATTCTTTGTGGTAAATAGGAAGAGGCCTTTTTTAAGTACATTTTTAGCCCAACTACCCACTTCTTCAGGAAACATATTAACTTCTCATTTGTGTGTTTGCCAGTGCCACCTACCTCCTGTCAAAAGTAAAACAAAAATTAAACCTGCTCTTGAAATGGTACCTTAATGTCTTAAAGGAATTCTTAGACAGTGATCGTGTTCTTCTTGGTCTGGTATTTGCCACACTGAGTTTGCAGATCTTTGTCAAGACAATAGAATAACAAACACTGAATATGTTTACTATATACCAGTGTTCTGCAACTATGCTGTCCAATACAGTAGCCACTAGCCATATGTGACTCTTTACATTTAATTAAGTTAAATAAAAGTAATTTCCTTGGTTGCATTAGTCACATTTCAAGAGCCCATAACCACAAATGATTAATGGATAATTAGACAATGCAGATATAGAACCTGTCTATCATTCTATAAAACCCTATTCTATGGGCTTTAAATAAGAATTAATTCTTAATAACAACGATGAGGTAGGCATGGTATTATCATCTCTAATATACAGTTGCAGAAATGAAGATACAGAGTGGTTAAATAACTCACTACAGGGTGGCAGAGCTCAGAATTTGAATCCCAGCAGTCTGATTTCAGGGTTTGTATTTTTAACCCAGTAAACGGCATAAAGCCATTTGAGGTATCAAGTGACTTAATGTCTTTCTAAGCCACGAAAACAATAGCCAGTTCAATGATTTCCATGACCAGGTATTAGGTTCTCCAGTACACAGTCAAATGACTAGTATCTGCAAATGGAAGATAAAAAGAGACTATGTGTTTTTACATGTCTACAAGGGAAGAAACTTTTTAGATTTTATTGATTCAGATGCTTTTGAAGTTTTTACTTACGGGATAGGAAATAAGCCCATATCTTAATTACCAAGTGTTTAAACAGCATTTTTAATTGACCTTAGCATTCTTCCATCAAATCTGCAGAGTTTCTTTGTCAACATAATACCTCAGCCTGTCACTGCCAGATAATTATAGTTCTATAATGTGAAATCAGTTTATTCTGTTTGCTGCGCTGTGTCAGAACTTAGGTCAGCCCCCCAGTCTTAGCTTACAACAAGTTTATTTCATGTGAATGCTATATCTGCTGCAGATCAGTTGCCTTTCTGCTCAGTGCTGTTCTCATTTTGGGACTCATTGTGAAGGAGAAGCAGTCTCTGTCTTGAACATATTTTTCTCATGGCAAACGGAAAGCAAATGGTAAATTATGTACTGCCTCCTAAAGCTTACTTTCAGAAGGGACACATTTCTCCATTTCATTGGCCAGAGCAAATCACATAGGCAAGTCCAATGTCAGAGGGTGGAAGATGGGCCCAGTAGACAAGGCAGTGGTTATTTTGAATAAATAATACCTACTACAACCTCTTGGATCTGTTATGAGTTCTCTGTATTCTAAGGTTCAGGTGATGGAATGAATTCCATGGCTTCATAAGCTCACTAAAATATTTACTATTGAATATCGATTTGAATGTAATTGTCTTAGAAGATTTTTTATTGTGTAGTGTATACCTGGTAACTCAATGTGGAAGATCTGTTTGAATTTGCCTCTATCAGGTGCTCGATCCCAGGCGGCTTCTATTTTAACCAAGTTTCAAGAACTCAAAGATGTTCAGGATGAACTGAGAATCAAAGAGAATGAGCTGCGGGCTCTAGAGGAGGAATTAGCAGGTCTTAAAAACACTGCTGAAAAGTAAGAACTGTATATACATTTTCTAAATTAAAGATTTGCATAGTAGAAAATGATAGAAAATTTACTTTTATTTGCAGAAATACAGCTTCTGACTTTTCTCATATTTTTGGTTTATTTAAAATATTTGATTAAATTGTGAGTTGATAACCATTTATCCATTTTTTTTCTCATAAGAGAAATGTCTTTGTTAAGAAATTAGCAAAATCTATTTAAGCAAAACAATCATTCAAATATTCCATTCTTTCTGCTGAGAAATACACTAGCACGTGGCTAGGGTTGGTGGGGAAACCCTTAGATACTCTGGTGTCTGATACCAGAGTTTACTTGATTTCCTGATTTGACGTTAAAATGATAGAGTATAGCATTGATCAGGTGCCCACAGTAAGTTTAATAGCATTGTGACTGTCCTTCCTATATCAAGGATCTGCTGGGTTGCCTATGAGCAGGTAAACAAGTTCATGTCGAATATCAGTACTGTGTTTCCTTACAGTATTTCTTCTGTATAGGTATGGATAAGATACATAAATACTTTCCAACATCGTTTCTATTTAGTACAATAGAGTTTTATGTGTATTTTTATTTTTTCAATATTGGGATCATGCTAATGTAACCTTTTTGTGTTACTCAGTAAACATTTATTGAGTGCTCCCTGTGTGCCACATATTCTTCTAGGGGCTGGGGATCAGATAAGTATCCCTGCCTTCATCTAGTTTTTTCTTGTTGGAGAAGCAGACAATAAAGAAAGATAAATTGGTAAAACATGTTACTAGTTCTAAGAAGAAAAAAGTAAATCAGGAAAGGAGATAGGAACCGTCTAGGGCAAAGACATGTTAAAATTTTATATTGGGTGAGCAAGAAAAGCCTCACTGAGGATATGATTGTTGAGTAAACACACGAGTGAATGAGTGAACAAGAGTGAGTGAACTGGCTCTGTGGTTATCTGGGAAAATAAGTCCCCACTTGAATTGAAAGCTTCATGAGTTAAAAGAGCTACAAACTTAACAAAGTGCATCGTTTGAAAGTTTGGCCAGGCCTAGTGGTGCACACCTGTAATCCCAGCAATTTGGGAGGCTGAAGCAGGTGGATCACTTGAGCTCAGGAGTTCAAGACCAGCTTGGGCAACATGGAGAAATCCTGTCTCTATTAAAAATACAAAAAAAGTTAGCTAGGTGTGGTGGCATGTGCCTGTGGTCTCAGCTACTCAGGAGGCTGAGGTAGGTGGATTGCTGGAGCCCTGCAGTTCAGGGTTGCTGTGAGCTGAGATTGCGCCACTGCACTCTATCCTTGGGGACAGAGTGAGACCCTGTCTCAAAAAAAAAATTTTTTTTTAAAGTTTAATTGTAATTTTTTCCAGTATTTCTGAAGATGACAAATAGGGACTGATTTAAAAAGATTTTATTCAGAATTCGCAATACTGAATACAGTTTACAATTTAAAAAATCTAAATGTTGAAATGATTATTTTTGGGTACGTTTTTAGCATTCAAATTCTGTAGTTATGAAAGCTTAGATTGGCACCAAGACTTTTGAGGATGCTAAATATGGACAAGATTTTCATAGTCAGGATGACCATTCAAAGATACAAATTGAATCAAAGTTTTTCTGTTTTCTTTTTTTTGTGTGTGAGATGGAGTCTCACTCTGTCACCCAGGCTGGAGTGCAGTGGCCCGATCTCAGCTCACTGCAACCTCTGCCTCAGCCTCCCAAGTAGCTGCGATTACAGGCGCGTGCCACCACACTGGCTAATTTTTGTATTTTTAGTAGAGATGGAGTTTCACCATGTTGGCCAGGTTGGTCTCGAACTCCTGGCCTCAAGTGTTCTATCCTGTTTACTTTCAAGCATCACATACATGTAAAGGCCTGCATTTTACCTTCATGAATATAAATTAACCATAGAGTAAATGAATTATTTTCTGTGAGAAGTGTAAAACAGATTTTTTCTGTGATATGTGAAAGCTCTAACAAGGTAATGAGTTTGTAGTTAGTTACATTTGGCTTAGAACTGTTAATTTTGTTCAGTAGTATTGGATCATTTGTTCTGCAGAATTGAATTCTTTCCTAATTGTGTCACTGAGGTCAAGGAAGGAAAATAGATTTTGAAAAAAATGAGAATGGTGGAAGGATCAGCTAAAGCCATTGTTTCACACATCAGGAAAGTAACATCTTTTAAACAAATATTTCTGTACTCCACGTTTTTAAATTAACTTGAAGTTAAAATTATTAAGTACTGTCAAGCATAGCTTCAGGCAGGAATACTCAAGGTAGTATTTATATTTGATAAGTTTTGTGTTTTTTTCCCTCAAACCTCATGAATTTCTAGTGACAAGGTACTTTGTGAATTTATATTAACTTGAAATTTCACTGCAACTGAATTAGCTAAATACTTTTCAAAGAAATGACTAAGCAGCCAGAATTGGGATTGAATTACAAAGTTTTCAAGAAGGTGCATTTTAAAACAACTAAGTTCAAAACTATTTTTCTTACACTAAAAGTAGGGAACATTATTAGTAACATTTGAAAATGAGGTTAATAACTAAATTTTTGAAATTTTATGTAATTGTTATAATCATTTTTTGTGGTGAGTAGTTTTTTTTTTTTTTTTTCCTTTTTAGTTAGCAAGAGGGATTATTTTTAAGGAAAGCTAGCTGTTAAATATTTCTAGTGTAAATAGTTATTGTGGATTTTAGTCATTTAGAGTTATTTACCTTCAATGACCATATCTAAATTTGAATTAATTGGTGCCTCAGAAACTTGAAAGTCATCAAAATTATTCCTGTAACCAGTAGCATCTTATATGGTTTATAATGTATATGAGTTTATTTTAGGTAAGAATCTGAAGTTTGAATGTATTTCTCAAATACCAGAGAAATTACAGTCATTTCTTACGTGTTTCTGTTTTTGTAAGGTATCGCCAACTAAAACAGCAGTGGGAGATGAAAACTGAAGAGGCAGATTTATTACAAACCAAGCTCCAGCAAAGCTCATATCACAAGCAACAGGAAGAATTAGATGCCCTTAAAAAAACCATTGGTAAGATGAAAACAGCCCATGCTTAATCTCTGGTTTTATTCATATCTGTTACCTTACCTTAGGTATCTTCTCTACCTGTGCTATGTTTAAGATACATATGATAAAGTTTATTTAGGGAAAATCCAAGTATGGGATTTCTAGGTCTTAGGGTATGGTTATTTTCATCTTTATTATATATTGTCAAAGGTCTGTTCATTTTTCCCAATGTTCATTTCCACCAGTGGCATATGAAAGTTTTCATTTCTCCAAGTTCTTTTTCTTCTCCAGACTTTTAAAATTTTCCAAATCTGTTGGTTGTGAAAAGATAGCATGCATTAGCATTTAATTTGCATTTCCCTAATTTCTGTTGGAATTTGGGATCTTTTTTGTATGTTCATTGGACCTTTGGGTTTATACTTCTGTAAATTTTCTATTTATTTCTTTTGCCCATGGGTTGCTCATGGTTTTTTTCCCACTGTTCTCATTCTTAAGAGTCCGATTTTCTTGTAGGTTATGTGCATTGCAAATATCCTTTTACTGTCTTTTTTGGCTATGTGCTGGTCTTTTAATTTTGTGTTCATAATATTTTTGTTATACAAAAGTTTTTATCTCCACTAATATTTTAATAGTATTTTCCGCAATGAAAAGTAGCGTAAGAAATTGTGCGGTAACGACTTCTAAGGTTATTTGCACCTGGGTTCCAACACTAACAGTATACTTCGGTTGTTACAGCAACACGTGTTCATTCAGTATTGCTTTTTTATTTATTTATTTTTTTATTTTTTTTGAGATGGAGTCCTCTGTGTCCCCAGGCTGGAGTGCAGTGGCGCGATCTCAGCGCACTGCAACCTCTGCCTCCCGGGTTCAAGCACCTTCCTCAGCCTCCTGAGTTGCAGGGACTACAGGCGTGCAGCACCTCACCCAGTTAATTTTTGTATTTTTAGTAGAGATGAGGTTTCACCATGTGGGTCAGGATGGTCTTGATCTCTTGACCTCATGATCCGCCCTCCTTGGCCTCCCAAAGTGCTGGGATTACACAGGCGTGAACTACCACACCTGGCCTTATTTTTTTCTTTCACAAATTTGGGGATGTTTTTCCTTTGCTGTATCCTACTGTCACATTATTTGTCAACTTTAATGAGAAGTTCCCTGAATATGTATAAAATAGGCAAAGAACATAAAGTAAGCTTGTTTATGAAATTATACACTTTCTAGCAACTACAGGAAAAATACTATAGTTATACTGTTCTGGTTTAAGGAAGCATACAGTTGCGTTAAAAATATGATCCGTGTTTTTTTTTTTTTTTTTTAAATAGGTTGCTTCAATACCTTTGTAAAAGAATAGTTGTAGGTGAAGTTCAATTTCATAGCAGAAGAAATGATTTCATTACAGATTTTTAGATAATTCAAATATGACTTTTAGGTAGGATCTGTGTTTCATTATACCATTTCTAGAATATCATTGGGATAATTTTCTTAAATTGTAGCCTGTAATTTTCTAAACCATTTCTTCTATTAAAAGTTGAATTTGTAAATCTTTACCTATAACTTAATTTAGCAACATTTGCCTACTTTGTGATGCAGAGGAAAGTGAGGAGATTTTGAAAAACACTGAAGAAATCCAAAGAAAAGCCGAAGAAAAATATGAAGTATTGGAAAATAAAATGAAAAATGCAGAAGCTGAGAGAGAGCGAGAACTGAAGGATGCTCAGAAAAAACTGGATTGTGCCAAAACAAAGGCAGATGCATCTAGCAAGAAGATGAAAGAAAAACAACAGGTAATAACTTCTTTTTGAAACTGAACCAACCTTTTAAAGTCAGCATAGAGCTGAAGGTGGTAGAGCATCGTTGGTTGACCTTAGTCATCAGAATTGATCTCAAAATCTAAAAAGGAGCAGTGTTCTTTGGAAGCAAATTATGCTTCTTACAAGTCAAAGGAATATACAGGATGAGCATCTCAAATCCGAAATACCGCAGAGTTAGAAACTTTTTGAGTGTTGATCTGAGGCTCAAAGGAAATGTTCACTGGAGCAAATTTGATTTGGGATACTCAGTCAGTATAACCCAAATATTCCAAAATCCAAAAAAAAAAAAAAAATCTGAAGTCTGAAACACTTCTGGTCCTACACATTTTGATAAGGGATATTTAATCTGTATTTTTCTCTGAAAACACTGCAATCTAGTATTTCATAGTTGTGAGTAGGGGATGCTAATTTTAAGGAAAGGCCAAAGTTGACCATTGGTAAATGCTTCCTTCAAGAGCGGATGGCCTTTCTTCAGGAGTGGATTATTTGATACTGTGGATGTCATATCAGAGATTCAGCAAGTTGACATTTTAATTTGGTAAGCACCTAAATGAATGTGCCCTGTGAGAACATCATGGAAGACAAAGCATGTTATATTTACAAGGTGTCATTCAGTTGTAAACTGATGATACTTTATTATATCTTTTAGCTAATATCAAAGCTGGAATTTGAACCTAGGTTTTTAATCACTTTTATGTGATTTCACCTAAATATATTTCCCTCACATTTTTTTTTTTAGCCCACTCTAAGACTCTCATCATTAAATAGCTGTGCAAAGTATTTTCTAATGCAGGGGTCCCCAACCCCCAGACCACAGACCAGTAACACAGGAGGTGTATGGCAAGCAAATGAGGATTACTGCCTGAGCTCCACCTCCTTCTGTCAGATCAGCAGTGGTATTAGATTTTCATAGGATTGCAGACCTTTTTGTGAACTGTGCATTCAAGGGATCTAGGTTTCATATTCCTTATGAGAATCTATTGCCTGATGATCTGAGATAGGGTGGTTTTATCCCGAAACCATACTCTCTCCCTGCCCCCACCGTATGGAAAAATCATCTTCCACAAATCTGGTCCTTGGTGCCAAAAAGGTTGGGGACTGCTCTTCTAATGAAATGAAGGCTACAGTGGGAAAGAATAATATTGAGAAACTTTTTACACATTGAACAGCTTTGTTTTTAAACTTTACTTCCACTAATTCATCTGTTATGTAGAATATTATATTGTTTTCCCTGTAGGAATAAATGATAAAGGATATAATTTATGCAGAGTTCTTTCAGCCTATACAAATTACACTTTTTTTTAATATGAGAAAATAAACTTCCTTTTTCTGGGGAAGCAGCTTAACCTGTACTTTTGGTAGCTGAGTGGTAACAAAGCTGTGGGTCTTACTTATATGAGATTATTGTTTATTTAATTTTCCTGTACATACTTGTTTTTGAGTAGTTAATCACCTATGTGAATACCCGAATACTGTGTTTTTTACAGGAAGTTGAAGCTATCACTCTGGAACTGGAAGAGCTCAAGAGAGAGCATACATCTTACAAACAACAGCTTGAAGCTGTAAATGAAGCTATCAAATCCTATGAAAGTCAGATTGAAGTAATGGCAGCTGAGGTGGCTAAAAATAAGGTAGGATTTATTTATCAAATTGGAGAAGGTGAAAATGATAATCTTTTTATGAAACATTAGCTTAAGATGTTTGACTTTGGTGTTCTCAGTCTTTTCACTCATTGTCATGAGAGAATGAGGCACAAATAGCTTTTACTCATCCAGAATTGCCAGTTGGGGGATCTCATAGGTCAGTCAGCTTCTAGCAGTCTCTCTTCTTCCTCACCCAATTGATTCCATCTACATTACATCCAGCAGAAACGTTCTCATTTGCAGCATGAGCATTGTACCCCAACCCTTTTTCTAGGGGTAATCCAAGTTTTCTTCTGTGTATAAATTCATTAGTCCTTTCAATGGTGATATAAAATAGACGGTTAGGTGATCTTCTCTCTGCCTGTAATCACATTGACATCTTGCCCAGGGATCTGTCAGATAATTGTTTAGTAAATTAAAATTATTTACATGTTACCTCACCACATATTTTCTTTTATTTTTTGTTTTAGGAGTCAGTAAATAAAGCTCAAGAAGAAGTGACCAAGCAAAAAGAGGTAATAACAGCCCAAGACACTGTAATTAAAGCTAAATATGCAGAAGTGGCAAAACACAAGGAACAAAACAATGATTCTCAGCTTAAAATTAAGGAATTAGACCACAACATCAGCAAACATAAACGGGAGGCTGAAGATGGTGCTGGAAAGGTACGTTTGTGTTCATTTTTTATACTTAATCAAATTTTTGTTACTGAGCTCTTGAAAAATTTTAGAAAACTGCTTGATGGAGAAATCTATAAATATAAATGGCAAAATTACAGTCTGACGTAAATTTGAGCTTGCAGCTATTAACTGCTTTTCAACAATGCTAATTTTCAACAAATTGCACAAATGTTTTATTTTTAGATTTAATTTTAGATATTTGTTCCCATCTACAAGATGTAGTTACCAAATGTTTAGTGGTGTCTCATGGAAATAACTTTTTACCTCCAAATGTTGATAGAACTAATTACTGATGTGCTAGTAATAATGATGTGTATTCTCTACCTTATTTCAAATTGAATTTAAAGAACTCATAGAACTATATATACAGGTAACCTAAAAAAAGGACTGAATTGGCTTCCACATATCTTTATGAGTGTCACTGCTGTCAGTATTTGCCACTTTATAAAAATCTGATGTTTTGCCAAGCAGCTATGTTTTTGAGGTTACCGCACAGTTTCCTTCTTTCATGTGTCACAGCGCCTTTACTTCAGTGCTTTAAAGAGAACACATGCTTTTGCAGAAATTCATTGCTTGGTTGAGAAGCTGCATTCACATGGTGTTAATAATTCATCCAGCATGTTTTCTTATGAGTGTGTAACAATTTGGCACCTTTTTAATGTCCAGGATACTATTTTTTTAAGCATCCTAAAAATACATGAACTTTAACTTCAGAAAGATCAAGAACATACAAAACAATCTTCCCCTCTTCTGAAAGAACTGTGGAACTTGGTTTAAAAAACATTTTTTATGGCTACATTATAATCTCCCACTTTATTACTATTGATTTCCCATTAGCTTAGTGATAGTGAACTGACTGAAATATTACCAATGGCAATGTTACTGCTAATAGTTTTTTGGTAACTGAAAATGCTAGTACTGTGGTTGTTAGGAGATTTTATTTACAATTGAAAGAGTAAAAGGAGGGACTTGCAAGTGGGTCTGCTAAGAAGTCAATGATTCTTTGAAAAACATAGTTTATCAGAGATTTATACATACCTACTAGTATCAGATCCTGTGCCAGGCACTGGCAATATAAGGATGAGCAACACATATACAGAATGAATAATATAGAATGCTTTCAAAGAGTTTACAGGTCAAGAGGAAGATAGACTTGAAATGATAATTCTACTTCGGGGCCTACATTTGAGACCATATGCATGGAATTAATACAGGTCAACAAATTAACAAGGATTGGATTCTGCCAGTGAGAATGAATCATAATTCTAGTAGAAGAAAGTCTTCTTTAAGCACTATAATTTGAACTGTATAATCAGTTATATTACATGAAGTATTATATTGTGCCTTTTTCAGAGGGGTGGGAGCAGGGATAGAGTCAATGTTTAGGGCAGTTTCTTAGAATATAGTTCTGAGAGAAAAATCATTAGGTCTCAGTCAGCATTAGGCTTCCATGATTTTACCAAATCTATGACTTAAGTATTAAAGGAATTTTAACTTATTACAAGTTGTTTTTTGAAGCAATAGATAGAATTTAGTAAATTCTAAAGGAGTTCTATCTGACTTCCATTTCATTCTAATGGAGGTGCTTTGCGTACACTTTGTAAAAATTTCTCTGAGTTGGCTCTTCTAATGCCAAAGTAATAGGAAGATCTTTTGCTATGCACTGTCTTGTTTTTGTAGTCGGCGCTCCGCATAAGAATATTCATCTTTATTCTTGTCAGTAATGAAACTCATTTTTAAAAACGAGTCGCCCAAGCATGGTGGCTCACGCCTGTAATCCCAGCACTTTGGGAGGCCGAGTTGGGTGGATCACCTGAGTTCGGGAGTTCAAGACCAGCCTGACCAAAATGGAGAAACCCCATCTCTACTAAAAATACAAAATTAGCTGGGCATGGTGGCGCATACCTGTAATCTCAGCCACTCGGAAGGCGGAGGCAGGAGAATCACTTGAACTTGGGAGGCAGAGGTTGCAAAGTTGTAGTGAGCCGAGATTGCCCATTGCACTCCAGTCTGGGCAACAAGAGCGAAACTCCATCTCAAACAAATAAACAAAAAAATCAGTCATTGAAGGTTTTTTCCTCTTCAGTATTTGATTAAAAAGTATTAAATATTTAAGAAACTGGCTTTTACATATTGGTTTGTAAACATTTATAGATCTCCATCTATTTTTATATGTGGCTAGGTATCCAAAATGTTGAAAGATTATGACTGGATTAATGCAGAGAGACACCTCTTTGGCCAACCCAATAGTGCCTATGATTTCAAAACTAACAACCCTAAAGAAGCTGGTCAGAGACTTCACAAGTTGCAAGAAATGAAGGAGAAACTAGGAAGAAATGTCAATATGAGAGCTATGAATGTATTGACAGAAGCTGAAGAGCGGGTAAGTCAATTTCCTATGAATATCTGGCCACATTAGAACATGACCAGCATTGATAGCTCTGTATGACCCCGATGGAGTTATTAGAGTTAACCTTTTGCAGATGTCTTTGATGCTTTTCTTTCTGCTTTCCTTTTTCTCTTTTCGTCATTTTTTTCTTATTACTCTTGTGCGTCATTAGTGGTTTTTACATTCTGTTACACCTGGAATGACTTTTCCACCGGCTTTTGTTCTTTGTCAAACATAATTCCTCACATTTCTGTCATTTCTTTCATTTGCATTGAAAAGCCTTGAATAGGGTATGCTGCGCTGTCATTCTCTTGACTCTACTGTATACTGAAACTATTATATAAGTAATGAGTAAAGCCATTATATACATAAATACTGTTTCACTAATCTGTAAATCCTGCAACCTCTTCTCAGTTTTAATGCTCTTAATTACTCAATAAAGTTATCCATCTCCCCTAACCTGACAAAACTTTGAGTCTGGGAAGGGAGTTTACTGTCATTTAGTGATGAACTTGGGAGGACCTATCACTAGAAAAACCCAGTGGGGGAAGCATTCCCTACTCTTAAGATAGCCATAAGAAATGGCTATCTTAAATTTTATATTAATGCCCCATACCTTCCTTAATTCTGCAAAATTCTGTTTGAATTTGCAAATCATAGAGTAAAATTCATGAGAAATCTGCAACACTGATAATAGCACAATTACTTAAGAAATTTTACCATAACTTTTTTTTTAACTGTTATTGGCATGAATATGCACTGAGAGTCTAGATTATGTTAGATACCAAACAGATGAATCATGCAGGTGTTGTGATCTCTCTATAAAATGCTCCTGCTGGTTTTCATTTCTACATTAAAGCTTTGCATATATGTGGCATATTTATAGAAGGAAAACTTTGGTCTGAATTTGATCGGCATAACATGATGAAACTTGTTCACTTCTGTTAGAGGAGACCTGAGTCTAATATTTTTTTCAAAAGAATTTATCAACTCCCATCCTGTTACCAGAGGAGAAGCCTGTATTGTTGATCAGCAGATGGCCTTTTTTTCCTTGTGTTTTATATCCATCTACATAAGCAATTATATGGATTTTCATGAAAAAATAAGATAAAAACAGAGAGAGGAGGTGAGAGGAGGTTTGGGGAGCGTGGCTGTAAAGAGGGACAGCAGGGAAGACATCAGGACTGGCTAGAGTTGTTAAAGGTGAATGTGAAATGCAGGGCTTTGAGGAGAAATGGGTAAGGAAGAGTTTTAGGAAGTCCCACTGCTGTTGATGGTATGATTATCTCTCTACAGCCTTGCTCAAAGGAATACTACTCTTAAAGTGATGATATTTAAGCTGAAATTTCAGGCAACCATTGTATCAGAAAAAAGAATATTCCAGGAAGGGAGAGCAGTGCAGGGGCCATAAGACAATAGTGAGTTTATTATGTTCAAAGGAGCTGTAAAAGACCATATGGCCAGAACCTGGGGAGGAGTTTAATGCCATAAAGTCAAGGGATAAATAAGGTCCAATTCCCTTTATCGTGATGCATACAGGCTTAAAATCCGGTTGATGGGTGCAGCAAACCACCATGGCACATGTATACCTATGTAACAAACCTGTACATTCTGCACATGTATCCCAGAACTTAAAGTAAAATTTTTAAAAATTAATAATAAGATCCAATTTATGTGGGACCTATACATCATGGTGAAGGATCAAAATTTTATTCATGTCGCTGCTAAGGCTGACGTTAAGAGGAGAGCTTTCAGGGCTACTTTTATTTAAGTTTATATATAACACCTTTTTTTTTTTTTTTTTTTTGCCTTGGCTGCTAAGGAGATAAGGGAATATTAGTGGAGTCAAAATATTTTAAGGACTTGTCTTATAAATTCTTCTAGCAGTTTAATTTTGTTATATACATATGGATGATTTTATTCCTAATTTTGTTAAGAGTATGTATATACACACATCATATAGTACATGTATAGTATATACTTATAAGAGTATATATAATTCTTAGTACATTATATCTTTTTGGTAAATAGGAATGTATGCGTTATATATCAAAATAACAAAACCTGTTTGTTTCTGACTGAATTCTGGAATATAGAAGAGATTTTATATTTTCCCAGTTAACCATGTTTTTTATCTCACAGTATAATGACTTGATGAAGAAGAAGAGAATTGTAGAAAATGACAAATCCAAAATTCTTACAACTATAGAAGACCTAGACCAGAAGAAAAACCAAGCCCTAAATATTGCATGGCAAAAGGTATTTTAACCCCAGAGTATTATGTTTTGTTTTATATGAGGTGGCAAGGATGAAAAAAATATTATCAGTGGATTTATACCCTGAGAAATTTGAAATGGCGATCTGTGTTTGAATGAGGCACATATTCACGCTTTAATTAAAACCTCAGACTTTTAAATGCATTTTTTCTTTTCAGACTTGACTATTACCAGATCCTGGCATTCTTGTCCTCCTTAAGAATTGGACAGTAAACAAGCCTCTTTTATAGGACGCTTACTCAACAAAATCCCAATTCTATTTTGTTTTATGACAACTTTGGCAGATGTCAGACTTCTTTACTGTTACTTCTACTTCCCTGACTTCATGTATCTGTCTGCTGTAGGATAATCCCTTAACCTGTCATGTGGAAGTTTTTCCATTTTTACTGTCACAGAAGACTCTTACTTCAAAGATTCCAAACATAGAGTTACTGTGCTGTTTGGTAGTTTAGCAAACCTGTGCCTTCTGGGTTTTAATGGGGCGCCTTGCCTCTTTTTCTCTTTGTAATTCTGTAGGAATTCTATCTTCAGTAATGCACCACAATTATCCCTTTTAGTCACCTTGTTTTTTTCTTTTCTAAGACTTATTTTCAGTGCTGTATTCCCTGTACTATTTTTCTCTTAAAAATGAAAGCAAAAGACTGACCCTATTATTGTTGTACAGCATGTCGATTTAACACTGGATCTGAGAAGTTTTTGTTTTCTTTTTTCCCACCAGGATTCCTGGACTTAGTACAAATCAGAATCTATTGTCTAAACATATCCTGCTTTTCCCAAATTTCCAAGGTTCTTCCAAAGCCAGTAGCATTTATTCAGTCACTTATTATATGCCAGTCACTATTCTCAAATTAATTTTCTTATCTAATCTTCACAATAGCCTAATGAAGTAGGTACTGTTATCAGCATTATATTCTTCCTTCTGGCTTCAGGCATACTTGATTGACAAAGTGACAAAGCCAGAGTATTCTAGGCTTCTTTTGTTTTTGATTTGTTTCCTTCATAGCCTCATTGGACTTGCAGAATTCTCTTTTATGTCATCTTTATGTCAATCTATGAATGTAACTCATTTTCTGTGTAGCATAGGGCTGTATTCTTCTATGTCTGTTCTCTTTTGGAGGAAGTTTCACATTAGGTCCCTGGTTATGTTCAGGTGTAGTAGCATTCCTCTCTCTTGGTCCTGAGCTGCCTCTCCCCCACTTGGTTTAGAACCTGCTTCCATTCTGTAGACTATTATTCAGCAGCTGTGTACTTGTTCGTAAAATGTGTGTTACTTAGTAAATCTATATTTAGGAGCACTGCTTGTGTCTATGAGATTTTCTTGTTACTATATTCATTAAAAAGTATATTTACATTTGAATATTGTATATCTGCATTTGAATTTGGAGATTTCTCTAGAGAACTTGGCTGTCAAGTCCTTGTGTATGTGTGTGTGTATGTGTATGTGTGTGTGTGTTAGACTTTCAAGTTTGACTGCTGAACTAAGAATATTAGTCATGTCTTTGAAGACAGATGGCCAGATTCCCAAATCATCAATCAAGTGCATATGAACAAAAATTACCCTATTACAATACAAACTAGGATTTTGGCCCTAAATCTCTGTCTCCTTCTGTGGCAAGACAGGAGCAGGCCAAACAGCTTTCTTTTCTCTTGGGATCTAATCCTATTTTCTGGCCCTCAACAGCTTATCCTCTTCAGCCAGGAGATGAGGCATATAGAAAAGAACCCTTTAACAGATCTGGTCCTTTGATTTCATGCCCCTTTTTCTCCTGGGCCTCACACTGATCTGCTTAGGGCTTTAGACCCATCTTATTGTATCAGTCAACAGGAAAAAGAAAAGTTTTATAAAAGAATATTTTATTCCAAAAAGTTTTGTTTTTGTGTTTGCTTCTATTTTGTGTTTTTTTCCTCATGTGATACAATTGTGTGTATCTTGAGGATTCCTGCAATGTGTTCTACAAAAGTGTCAAAACTTTGGAGTAGAGTTAGAGGTGTGCCTTCTAGTTCCCCTGGAAATTAGAGCAGGATTCAGTAATTCATTTTTGTAAAGGGCCCAGATAATAAATATTTTTTGCTTGGGAGCCCATCCAGTCTCTGTTGCAACTACCTGATTTCGTTGTATCACTAGCAATGATTGATAGACACTTTGTAAATGAATGAGCATCTCCATATTTTTCACATGGACCATAGTTTGTCAGTCTCCGAGTTACAGTAATAGACAAAGTAGACCTGCTGTGTTGCATATACATATATCAACCATTGATTCTTCTTGGAAAGCATCCTGATGTTTTAACTCTTTTATTTTTTAAATCCAGGTGAACACGGACTTTGGCTCTATTTTTTCTACTCTTTTGCCTGGTGCTAATGCTATGCTTGCACCACCAGAGGGTCAAACTGTTTTGGATGGTCTGGAGTTCAAGGTTGCCTTAGGAAATACATGGAAAGAAAACCTAACTGAACTCAGTGGTGGTCAGAGGTGAGGAATCACTTTGCTGTATTATAATTTTCATTCTTCTTACTTTAATTCATCATCTCATTACCTTAACAATTGTATTTGTGTTTTAATTTGCTTGTAAACTACCTTTGCATGTAGAATTTAAGGAGCCTAATATATGATTAAACATTTTTGTTAAAACATTTGATTAAAATAGGCGACAAAGTTGACAAAATATGTTTTTTAAAAGTGTATTTTCAAATATTAAAAAATGAATAGTCCAGGACAAGATGAAACAGAAATGCTGAGCCCTGTGTTCACCCTGGCTTTCTCTCTAGTGGCAGTTTTTGGACTTCAGGTGCCCAAACAGAGGTCAGTAGTCTCACTAAGTTAAAAAAGACAGAATTTTGCAAAGCCCTAGAGTGCTACACCTTGGTATTAGGTGTCTCCTGTCCCTGAAGTGAAGCCTAATCTACACATATCCTAAGAAACTGAACAGATTTCTTGAAGGGATCAAACTGTTACTTATTTGTTTATCAGAACAAAGGCCAGTGTTCTTTAAAGAAGGTTAAAAAAAAATTGAGATACTAAACAACATAACCACAGACTGAAATGACAGTTGATGAAAGTAGGAAACAAGTTAGAGTTACATTAATCATTTTCAAAAATTACAAGAAAACATGAACATAATGAGATAAATAGCTACTAAAAAGAATTAAGTGGATCTTCAAGAGATTTTAAAAAGTTTTCTGCATGAGGTTAACAGCAGATAAGATACCGTAAAAGAAAGATGAGTAAATTTGAAGACATAGCAATATAACAGAATCTATTCAGGCTACATTGAGAAAGAAAAAACTGGAGGGGGAAAAAAAAAACAGCTTCAGTGTCCTAAGGGAAGCTGTCTAATGTGCAAGTAATTGGAGTTCCAAAAGGAGAGGAATAGGGAGGATGGAAAAATACTTGAAGAAATTATGTCCCCATATTTTCCAGATTTGATGAATTCTGTAAACCCACAGATTTGAGTTCTGTCAAGCTCAGGCGGGATAAACAGAAACACATAGAAAATAACAAAGCAAAAGATATATAAAACTGCTGAAAACCAGTGATTAGGAGAAAAATCCTAAAATCAGCTAGAGGAAAAGAGACAATATTATATGCTAGTGAACAAAAATAAAAATATCTTTAGATTTCTTGTTAAATGCTACATATGTAAGCCAGAAGTCTGGAACATCCATAAAGTGCTCAAAGTAAAACATGTCAACTAGAATTGTTTATCTAACAGAAATATTCTTCAAATTGAAGGCAATGTGAATACTTTTCAGACAAAAACATCTGAACCATACTACAGGTTAAAGGAAGTTCTCAGGCAAAAGGAAAATGATACCAGATGGAACCTTGGATCTACATAAAGGAAGGAAGAGTGTTGGAAAATAACATGGATTTGGAGTTCAGGAAAGTTTCTTACAACCTTACACAGTGATTCAGAAAGTCAGCATAGTGATAGAAATCTAAAAGGTCATATGTCCTCATGTCTTACCTGCAGATAGCCAATTAATTAAAACCTCCTAAAAGAAGGTTGTGAACGAATATTCACATAATTGAAATTAGTGATTGATTTAGTAATTGTTTTTTCCTCCGACATGGTATATAATCCATAGGCCTTGAATTGTTCTTCTGTGTCCTGTAATACCATCATGTAACCCTTTTTTTATGTACATAGAAAATATAGACACCTGTTAATGTTCCTTACGACCCCTTGTATCATTTTTATGAGTAGAAATATATTTTATTTATATTTTTATAAAATTTGTAAATAAGAATAAAAAATACAGCACCTGCTGCCTGTTCATAAAAATTGAATTCCACAGTTTAGTTCCCAGTATCTTTAGCTATATTTGCCAAAGCCCTAGAAAATGTTTTGAGGAAAATAGAAAATGTGTGCTTCCTTTCTTACTGGGACCTATAAATTATTTCCGTAATTAAGATGCTATAAAGTTATTTTTAGATATACCACTATCCAGCATGACAGTTTAAAAAAAAAATTCTGCTATGCTGAAGGGTTAAAGATTAGGTTTAAAACTCAATACTTGAGGCACTCATCACAGAGAAAGACAAACATAATTTTAGGTTGGCTGAATGACTTTAGCTCCCTTTTATAGAGGTGATTAACAAACAGTCTCACCGTGATTTCATTTTGATGATACTGTTTTATTCTTTTTTTTTTTTTTTTTGCTAGCAATTTTTCTCCACTTGTGCACACATTTTTCCCTACTTATTTATGTATTTATTAATAAATAGCCCTATTAGAATGCAGCAAGCCTTGGGCTGGGCACGGTGGCTCATGCCTATAATCCCAGCACTTTGGGAGGCCAAGGCAGGTGGATCACTTGAGGTCAGGAGTTTGAGACCAGCCTGGCCAGCATGGTGAAATCCTGTCTCTACTAAAACTACAAAAATTATCTGGGTATGGTGGTATGCACCTGTAATCTCAGCTACTAGGGACGCTGTGGCAGTAGAATTGCTTGAACCTGGGAGGCAGAGTTTGCAGTGAACCAAGATCGTGCCGCTGCACTTCATCCTGGATGACAGAGCAAGACTCTCAAAAAAACAAAAAAGAATGCAGCAAGCATTAAGCTGGCTATCCTAGTACTATATGCCAAGATGTACTTGAAGTTACAGAATAAGTATATTACAAATGCTACTCTAATGTTTAGTCTAATATTAAGTAATTATAAATATTTTATATTATGAATTATTTATTTTTAAGGAAAAAAAATAATAATTATTATGATTCTTCATACTGGATTAGAATGAGCTGCAGTAAGCAAGAAGAGAACTGAAAATAGTGCTGTGGAACCTGAGATTAGGTGTAACTATGAATTTTACATAAAATTGTTTGAACTTTTGACAGTGATGTACTTAGAGTAATGGGCCATCATCCATACAACTTATTCACACATGGTACCAAAAATATATAGAGAGAGATTATGTGTCTATGTGTATATATGCATACTTATGTAAGTGTGTAGATTATGAAAGTTTGAAAAATGACATCTCACCCAGTTACTGTTACCAAGACAATAGTTATTGTCTTAAATAATGACCATAGCCCTTACTCACCTGCTACCTAGGCTCTAACGAGCCAACTGGGGAAGGAAAAAAAAAAGAACTTTTAAAACTAACATAATCTTAAGAGTAGGTGCCAAACGTAATATGGCAATATTAAAATTGTCTGAAAATAGCTGCTTCTGAAAAGAGGAAAAATGGAAAGCTAAAATAAAAGAAATATTTTAATACAACAAAAGTGTTAAAGTTTGAAACTCAAGATTCTTTTTTTATATGACTACCGTTCAGATAAATCTGTTCTCTTCACAATAATAAGATCACATATTTGCTTCAGTGTTTTGATAAGTGGTAAAATCAAATTTTTATGGTTTTTCTTCTACTGACCTTTTCTTAGGTCTTTAGTGGCCTTGTCATTAATACTGTCGATGCTCCTCTTCAAACCTGCTCCAATTTATATCCTTGATGAGGTAGATGCAGCCTTGGATCTTTCTCATACCCAAAACATTGGACAGATGCTGCGTACTCATTTCACACATTCTCAGGTAAGAACCAGAAAAAAAAAGTCTCAGTAATAGTTTAATTAGACTATTTTTCTAAAACCATTCTTTAGTAGTAGCCAATGTTAGTAAGCTATTTAGGGTTGATAAATACTAAAGTATTGTATATTTGTTTAAATAAACTTATGTTTAAATAGGTATAGAAGGAAAAAAGGTTCACTCTCCTTTTGAAGAAAGACCTAGGCATTAAAAATGTTGGTTGTAGCATGAGGGAGATTCCAATTTAGTCATAATACAGAATTAACTTAGGGTTAATACAATTGTTTTCTCTAGTTAGCTGCCATAAAGATGTACAATCAAAACTGTCTCAGGGATATTTAACTCAGGTATCAGAAAATCATGTGACACTTGATGGGGGAATTTAATTTCTCATGGCTAAAAAGTCGAACAAAGCCTCTGAAGCTAAGAACAGTTTGTTTCTATTACAGTGTTACTGTAGGACCTGGGGCTGCCAAATATGCTTGCATAAATTATGCATTGTACAACTCTGGGGACTCCACTCATAGTTAAGAGACTTCTAAAACAATTTGGACAGCTAGTATTTATTTAGGTGCCTCATATAACTAAAGATATAAAATCAAAATTATCTCCAAACAATTCTTATCCCCAGTATAAAGGAGTAAACTTCAAGTATATCACAAAAAGTTTTTTTATACTTTTTTCTTTTTTCCTTAAGTTCATCGTGGTGTCACTAAAAGAAGGTATGTTCAACAATGCAAACGTTCTTTTCAAAACCAAGTTTGTGGACGGTGTTTCTACAGTAGCCAGATTTACTCAATGTCAAAATGGAAAGATTTCAAAGGAAGCAAAATCCAAGGCAAAACCACCCAAAGGAGCACATGTGGAAGTTTAAACTACAAGTTTATTTCTTCATCTGGACCTGTTTTTTTAAACATAAACTTTTAAGGACTTGGGATAAGTAATTTGTTGATTTAAAAAAATTAATGTTACTATGTTACTTAACCCATATTTTCTCTTTATATAATCACTTATCACTTACAAATGAGCATATATTCCTCATCTCTTAACCAGTCTAATTATGGTCCAATTATTGTGATTGTGATTTTATGCATATCATCAAATGTTTTTTTCTTACGCAGGTCTTTTATATATTAGGAATCCTGAGATACCCAATTCCATATGTAAAAGCTAATATACAAAAAAGCAGATTAAATTACATGATAAATGTAGCTGATCATCAGTGTTTAATTGATTTAATTCCTAAGGCAATATTAATGTGTTTTCTATTCTAATAAAGTCATTCAGGTAAGGAAGAATTATCAATCAGGTAACTGGACCAACAATGGGAACACATATAAAGCTATTATGCATGCACAGAGCTGTTTGAGGCCAGTTTTTTAACGACACAACTCCAGACCCCTGATTTAGACTGAGATAGAAAACAGATCTTGAAAGATTTCTTATTTTAATGATACATGAATATCATGTTCCTATATGCTTAATAATTGGTCTCTGTGACTTTAATGTTTTTGTTTTTTTAAGCTTTATAAGTATTTTTAAATAAAAGCTTAGGAGAAAGTGTGTTGCGTGGTACTATCTGCTGCAAGTTTATCTGAAGTCTGTTAATATTTTCCAAGATTTTTGTCAGCCTTTTCATAATCCAGTCATCAACAGCCTATTGGTAAACACGAATGTAGGAGCCTGTAGACTAAACCAAATTTATTTTTCCCTGAGTCTGATACATATATATATATTTGATATATCTATTTGAGATATATATAAAATGTATATATTTATATCTGATATATATCTGATATATAAAATATATTTATATCTGACATATATATAAATATAAATAAATCGATCCATCTGTTCCACCAAAATAACTCAAAAGTTGGATAATTATTTATGTCTTCTGCTTTCCAGTTCAAAGGGATGAAATTCCTTTAGAACTTGAAAGATGACACTAGCAAACACCATGAGAATACTGTCTACAGTTTTTAGTATCTTTAGGTACATCATCAGTAGAGCAGTGACTCCAAACTGAATCATAAAAGCTCTGATGTGATGTAATCTGATCTTCCATGTGTTATTTTGGCCCCACATCTCTTCTTGATTTTTTTAGTCTATTTCCTTAGTAGTATTATCATACTTTCCCTGATATATGGCTGTACTTCCTGGCCCTGGGCTTGACATTTCTCACCCTTCATTCTACATACATATGAGATGTCAGAAAACATGCAGTAATTGATATTATGGGACACATTGGAAAGGATTGAATCTGGAATTAGTTCTCTCCACTGTGGAGGGGAGAGGAAATAATGCTGTAAATGTTGAGTTACAAAAAGTCTAATGTCAAATAGTTTTTTTGTTTTCCTTTCAGATGTATCACAAACTGTGCCAAAACAGTTATCAATTCACACAGTCAACATTAAAGTATACCATAGTATACAAATTAGTCAGTACTTGCTGTTAATATTTCTGATTTAATAGTTATTAAGTGGTACTTCATTGCTGTTTTAGCCAGTGTTTAAAAAATAATTTGGGAGGTTGAACTTCATTGCTGTTTTAGCCAGTGTTTAAAAAATAATTTGGGAGGTTGACTATCTTGGCTTATGTACTCATTTCCTTTTCTCTGCTAAAAATTTTCTGCTTGTATGCTTTCCTGATTTTTGTCTTGTATAATCTTGATCTTTGACAATCCTCAAACATGTATTAAATTTTTGTAATTTTTTTTTTCATTAGAGGGAAGTCATTAAGGGGATTGGGGACATTTGTTTCACACATCTGCAATAATATGAGTTAACTAATATTCACCAAGCTCGCTCTTTACATTTTTCACATTGTATATATTGTCATATTTAATCCTCAAAGTAACCTAGTGAGGTAAATACTGTTGTCAGCATGGTGTAACTGAGGAATTGAGTTGAGCAGAAAAGTTAGGAAACTTGCTCAGGGTGATAATACAATTAGGAGTGTCAGGGCCCATGTACAAATCTTGTCAGTCTCCAGAACCTAAGATATACTATGTCACTGACAGCTTGAACATTTGTATTTATTGTACAGAATAAATTTAAGAAAAGTACCTGTATGAGCAGTATGTACAATGTGAATGTTATCTTAAAGAAAAACCTCAACCATATGAAGAGAGGATTCATTGTGGAGGTGGCAGTTTTGGCATTTCATGTGAGCTCACGGCAAATGCAAAGCAAAGACATGAAATTTTCTCTTCCAGTATGGTGGTGTAATCTAAAGACCAACATTCCCTCACATAATAAATATAGATCCTGGGCAAAATACTAGAAACAACTACCTGAGAGTTCAGGAAACTGAAGAAAAACTAGAAAGATTTTGGATGGGAGATAAGATATGGCGGAAGAGATAGGCACAAGCTAAGGTTAATGTTTTTGACCTAAGTACCAGCTATAGTCATGATGCAGCTGTAGGACAGCTAAGGCTGCAGTGGAAAGCCTGGGGTCTTTCTGGTCTGGAGAACTAAGAGATGGGATCTGGGCTAACCACAGCTTCCAGAAAGTGAAGGAGAAATCTCAGAAGGGATAAACGAGGACCTGGAGAAAGTGGTCCCAGACTTAGTAGATGAAGTTAGCCAAAGTAATTAACCCCTGAACTCTGCAGATACAGAACATATCAAAGATAAAGCCAGATACTAGTTAAAACAGTAAGGATAGATTGAAATCAGTAACATACTCTTGCAATAAGAAGAGTCCAGTATGAACTAGTCAACTTGAATTTGTATTGAGGCGACTGGGTGTCTTAGAGAATGAGGGAATAGAGAGGATGATTAAGTGGGGGCTTAGTAGAATCAGGGATATAAACAGGAAGAGTTGGTTAACGTGAAACCCATTTGGATTTGTTAACTGGCTGTAATGCCAAGGTAGGCTCTTACCCTCCCACAGAGACTGGGACTCTACCTTAAAGTGTTGGTTGGAAGAAACAGTAAACTCTTAGCAACCTTGAGTTTTCTCAGGTAAGCACTTTCAGGAGGAGGATAGTCAACCTGTGGATGTGGCTTTGAGCTGTTAGAAACTGCTAATGTATTTTTCACATCTTTACAGGCAAAGGTTTATTTAGAAGTAGAAAGGGCTCAGAGGAGCCTGGCTAGAATTTCATCAAAGATAATCTGTGAAACAGACAAGAAGTTTGCTGTTTACCCTAATAAAATTGAATTGTGATTTGAACCGCTACCTGCAAGACCATTCTCCAGGTGACCTTGGACTAACCCACTTCTCCCCACTGCTCACTGGTTGTCAAAAAGAACAGCCTTGCTATCTGGTCAGGTGAAAGACAACCAAGTGGAAAAAGATCTGTGTGGTTACAAGGAGTATGGCCAAAGGTTGCTAACTGGAAAGGACAAATACATGTCACCTGTGGATGCTGGGAATACCATAGCCACCTTTTAGGGGAACTTAAATTATGTTTTTGGATACCCTGTAAAACTTTGCTCCAACAAGGAACCTCTTTTACTGCCCAAGGAACATGACAGCAGGCACACTTATGGAATACAATGGGCTTTCCATGCACCCTGTCATCCTCAGTCCAATAGAGCTGTTGAACAATGGAAAGCCAGCTCACAACGAGTGAAGGAAGGACATCAGGATAACCTACTAGTGGGGTGATAGCAGCCCATCTGAATAGGGCAGTATGGGGACACTGAACACTGCACTCCATGGCAAAGGAACCACATGATTGCAGCACATGTTGAGAAACACTGAGCCTGGAGGAGGTACAGGTGGACCAGATAATGGCCTCTGCCTGTGAAATCCAAATTCCAGTGTTCCCAGCCATTTTCTTTTTTTACAGTGTACATCCTGTGAGTGGTTTGCAGTTCTGGCTACCACAGTACCCCAAAAGGCCCCCCTAAGTCTAATCTGGAGTCGGTGTTTCCCTCAGGTGCATTCCCTGTGAGAGATCCCTCAGGGTTGGAAACAGGACCAAGAAATACCAGGGTGCTAAAGTCCCTCTAATAGTGCCAGGGATATCTGATCCTTCCATTTAGCTAGGCAATGTCAGACGTGTCATTCAAGAAGTGACTTCCCTTCCTGGACTGGATGACTGAGGCTGAAATATCTGAGGCATTTCAAGGATAGTACCACAGGATATGGTAATGTTTATAGTATGGTGTGATGTTTTGATATTCATATATGTTATGGAATGATTACCACAATTAAGCTAATTAACATATCTCACATAATTACCTTTTTTGTGTGTATGGTGAGGACATTTAAGATCTATTCTGGCAAATTTTAAATATATAGCAAAGTATTAGCTATAGTCACCATGCTGTACAGCAGATCTCCAGAACTTATCCATCACGCGTAACTATTACTTTGTACTCTTTGATAAACATCTCCCCACTTCCCCTGCTCCCCAGCCCTTGGCAACCACATTCTACTCCGTGGTTCTATGAGTTTGACTTTTTCAGATTTTACATATGAGTGAGATCATTAGAGTATTTGTCTTTTTGTGCCTCTTTGATTTCACTTAGCATTATGCCTTCTATGTTAATACATGTCACAAATAACATGTCCTTTTTAATGCTAAATAATATTTGTGTGTATGTTTATATCTATGTTGACTAGTTTTTTGCTCGTATGAATACTATAAACATTTGTGTACCGGTCACAGACATCTGATCCTTCCATTGTGATGGGCGATGTTATCAGATATGTCAAGTTTGTTTAGGACCTGACCTCCCTTCCTGGGCTAGACCGCTGAGGCCAAAAGGTCTGGGTGAAGTAACAAGGGCAATGGGGCTTGCAGAGGTAGTGGCCTCAGGATAGAGACAGACAGACTGGGTTGCTGCACCAACTCAGCCTGACCCCTGTCCCATAGATAGGGTCAACTCTGAGAGATCTGGCAGGGGAGGTGCAGAGTAGGGTACTAGCCGGCCACTATGCTTTTTACACGGGATGAGACATCTAAGGCTTGAAATCCTAACATCTTTGTTAGGTTCTCCTAAGCTGTGGCCATAGCCGCAAAGTAACCTGCCATTCTGGACCTCATTCTGTCACAGACCACAGTGACCAAGTCTTCTTAATGGCATAGTTCCATTTGCTCAGATTCTCTTGTGCAATGTTATTCATGAAGCCCCTACACAGAGGGCTAACAATCCAGTCCCTGTTTTTGTTGTTGCCATTGGGATACTTACTCAGGTAATAAAAAGAGGTGTGTCAAAGTGCCAGCCCCTCAAGGTTTTGTTAGTTGTGGTTCTGACATTTTGGCAGAGGTCATTAATTTAAAACGGCACCAGCATTCCTAACGCTGTAACGTACACCAGTACACCAACAGAACCTGAGCCTAAGCCCTGGTTACTGAGTAAGGATGTACCCCCAGCATGGAAAGGAGCCAGAGGTGACTTGTTTTTTGTTTTTTGGGTTTTTTTGTGTGTGTGTGTGTGTGTTTTGTTTTTTGTTTTTTGGGTTTTTTTTGCCTTTGGATATCCAATTGCTCCAGCACAATTTTTTGAAAAGGCTATCTTAGCCAGGCACAGTGGCTCAAGCCTGTAATCTCAGCACTTTGGGAGGCAGAGGCAGGTGGATCACTTGAGATCAGGAGTTCGAGACCAGCCAGACCAACATGGTGAAACCTCATCTCTACTAAAAATACAAAATTCGCCAGGCATGGTGGTGTGTGCCTGTAATACCAGCTACTAGGGAGGCTGAGGCAGAATTACTTTAACCTGGGAGGCAGAGGTTGCAGTGAGCCGAGATTGTGCCACTACACTCCAGCCTGGGCAAGAGAGCAAGAGACTGTCTCAAAAAAAAAAAAAAAAAAAAAAAAAAAAAAGACCCTCTTTCCTCCTAGAAAATCATCGAGTTGTTTTTTTGCTTTTCCAACTGTGTCAAAAATTATTTGGGCATCTTTTTAAGTCTATTTTTATTATAGGTTCTCTGTTCTGTTCCATTGATCTATGTGTCTGTCCCTTTTCCAATATCTCACAGTCTTGATTATGGTCACTACGTAATAAGCCTTGAAGTCAGTTAGATTGATTCTTACTACTTTATTGCTCTTTGTCAAAACTGATTTAGATATTCTTGATGGATGCCTTTCCATACAAGTTTTAGAATAATCATAACTATATCTACAGAATGCCTTGGGATTTTTATAGGAATTACATTAAACCTAGGTATTAATTTAAAGAGAATTGATATCTTTACTGTGTTGAACCTGGCAACCCAGGAACACGGACTGAATTCTCTCCATTTATTTTGATCTTTAACTTCAATACTGATAATTTTCAGTACACCGTATATGGAAAGGCAACAGTCTAGAATATCTAAATCAAGTTTGACAAAGAGGAATAAAGTAGCAGGAATCAAATGTGTACGCTGAAACATTCTGTACATTTTGTTAGACTTATACCTAAATATTTCATTTTTTGAGCTATGATAAAGGGTATTGTATGTGTAACATTAATATCCATATGTTTACGATAAAGGGTATTGTATGTGTAACATTAATATCCATATGTTCATTGTTAGTGAATACAAATAATTTTTATATGTCTATCTTGTAACCATTGGCCTTGCTAAACTTCTTAGTTCTAGGTTTCTTATAGATTTTGGAGGATTTTCTACACAGACAGTTATGTCCTCTACAATCATAGGCATCTTTCTTTCTTCCCTTATGGCACTGACTGGAACTTCTTAGCACTGTGTTGTGTAAGAATGGTGAGAGCCAGACTATCCTGGCTAACGTGGTGAAACCCCATCTCTACTAAAAATACAAAAAATTAGCCAGGTATGGTGGTGGGCACCTATAGTCCCAGCTACTCAGGAGGCTGCTGAGTTCAAGAGAGTTGCTGGAACCCGGGAGGCGGAAGTTGTAGTGAGCTGAGATCGCGCCACTGCACTCCAGCCTGGGCAACAGCGCGAGACTCTGTCTCAAAAAAAAAATAAAAATAAAAAAAATAAAAGGTGGAGAGCCACTACACTTGCCTTGTTCCCAAAATCAAGAAGGAAGTATTCTTTCACCTCTAAGTATAATGTTAGCTGTAGGGTTTTGGTAGATGCTGTTTACCAAATTGAGGAAGTTCTCTTCTATTCCTATTTTGATGGCAGTTTT